TTATTCTCCAGGTAAAGATTTATTCAGCTTCACAAATGAAAACACAAAACAAGCAATATTTTTAAACCACTAAAAATGTTAAAAATGAACATACACTGAAGAGGTTTCAGTCTGTTCTGTTAAACAGCTTGAAAACATCTCAAAGTTGTGGTTAGAGGCCTGTCAAACACTAAACAGTTGTTTCAAACTACCAATAAACTCAAGCTCAATTTGGAAGAGCTGAGCTAGTTACCCAGCTTTTTTTCAAGCTGGTCTCTAGATTTAAACAGCAACATTCACGGGAATTGTTCTGAATACTTTGGATATCAAATGCATTTCAAACCTTCACAAAAACAGTCCAGTTCCATGTTTTTACTGGATGCTCAGATCTGCCTGCAAGCAGGTCCTGACCTGACACCTGTGGAATGTTTCAGCAGCAGAAGGTACAAGATAAATTCCCTGAAGTGACAGCAGAGATTTCTGTTATATCTTTGCAGACAGACAAATATTTTAATTTAGAAGGGATCATCCTTTGTCTCAGCCTCCAGTGTCCTGAGGAGGTCACACAGAGTTACTATTGTTCCAGTATGCTGCAATTCAACAACACTATTGCATCAAGTCACTCCTCTGCATTTTCTCCTGATTCAAAAGCAAACATCAGTCTCCCTCAGAAAACGTAATGAATTGAATCTGCAGTCCCCAAACGGAAAACCCATCTTACAGACAACACTTGCAAAACTAATAATCGATGTGGCACAAGAGGCTGGAAACAATCTTGTTCTTGCTCCATCTCCAGTACCTCAGTTCAAAGTCTGCCTCCTAGCAGCTACACGGAGCGCATCACTGCTATTCATTTCATCCTCTGGTTACCTCTACCATCAGCACTTGATCCCGTTTATTAAAATCCGGTGCATCAGCATACCTTAAGAACAGGGCTGGACAGGAAGAGCACTGACTGCACAGGGATCTAGGGAAGTCCTGCTGCTCTTGTGACATGCTCACAACATTAGTCAAGACTTCCACTTCCTACACCCGCATTCCCTCTCCCCTCCTTGGTATGTTTAGAGATGCAGCAGTTACCAAGTAAATATGTTTGCCTAGATGCAGATGCCTGCATCTTACAGTAATTTTATGATTATTCTGATGGTTCAATTTCATTTCCTCATCTCCCTCATTTACAAAGATTAAGCTGAATTAATTTACATATTTTGGGATTGGGTTTTTTTCTTAGGAGGAATCATGAAATAGATCCCCTGGGATTAGGCTAAAACATCACACTGTACTCCAAATTTGCTGCATTCTGATGTCATCCCCCCCTGCGTTCAGAAGTACCTCTGGCAGTCAAAGCCATAGGCCAAATGCCCAGTACCATCAAAATCTGCTGCCACGCAGAAATTCTATTTTATGGCAGTAGGACTTGGAATACTTCAGAAGAAGCCTTCCCCATTGTTGGAAGTAGCAAAATCTAACTGATAAAATGTACCTAGCATCCAGAATACCCAATGGAGGATTATAACAAAGCACCGTAAGTCACTAGTGATGAGAGCCCCCACCAGAATAAACACCATAAATATACAGAAAAGTCACCTTCAAAACACCTTATATTCAAACCCATTCCAAAATAGACTGTGAAACCACTAATCCGACAGACTCCCCAAGACAGGGAAGCAGGTGGTATACAAAACAGTCTCTAAATGTGAGCTCCTCCATCATACTTTCTTCCAAAAAAAGTGCTAATCAAACTTCTACGTATTTAATTATATTATCCATACCAACCCAATAGTCACATGAGGAAAAACACTTGTTTCTGAAGGAACACACTCTATTACAATTCAGTAGTAGACCATTCTGAATACAAGCACAACAATTATATAGTAAGCTACTGAAACTAGCAAAAAAACTACTTGCAAAGTACAAATATACAGTAAGAAGGACACAGTGCTGACTTTAGACTAACTGCATTAGATGCTACTGATCTGCAAGGCCCATTGCCATGCGACAGGCTTAGAAAGTTCCTTTATCACAGAAAAGTCCCAGAGAAGCAGATGCATACACTGCTCGATTCAGAGCCTGGATGCTGAACAGGCAGCAGAGAAAAAGGAACAGTATATCAAAAACTGAATTCTACCATAAAAAGATGAACTTTCCATTTGAAAGTACATTAACATGAAATTTATTCAATTTTTATAAAAATAGTGACAAAGCTGTATTGGCAATGATTTCTTCTGTGTTTAAGATCACCAGTATTTCTTTTTATTAACAGTTTCTTAGTTGTTCCTTGGCATAGCACATAAACAAGTAACAAAGTTCACTGAAAACTACCCGTAATTCGTTACTGTATTTTCAGTTTCTTCATAACTACATTATTTTCCTATCGGTTAACTAACAACAGTATCAGACAAGTGTGCGTTCTCCAACAGCACTCACCCGGGTTACAGCTACAGGCAAAACCCAGAAAGCCGGCATAACCTGAACTTTCATTTTGCAGTATCACCGCACCTCTTCAAAGAAAACGCACCAAAAAACCCCACTAAACATCAGCAATACTGGCTGTGATCCGGGAGAATGCACTGTGTGCAGGAGAGGCTTACAAAAGTAAGACTTAACACTATTACTTAAAACACAAGGTGAAATGGGCATTAGTAACAGACGGGGACAAAAATGAAATCAAATACTTCATAAAGTGAATAACTGGCTGCTGTAATGCCTGGGCAAAAAAAAAACGCAGATGCTGTAGATGTTCAAAACGAGTGATGCCCTTGATGTACGAGCCGAACGTCAGATGTGAGACAAGATCACTCTCCAGACAGTTGTTATTTAACTCGTGCCACAGAATGATAATTTTATTACAAAGCAAGCTATGAATCCTGGATTCCTTCCAAGAATTTCAGAGCGCGAAGAAAAGAGCGGAAAATACGCATCCACCGAGCACCATTTAACTACGTATTTAAGTTACGAAGTTTCTCAGGTGCAGGCGGGCAGCATTAACAGCAGACCGGGGACAACCGAACCGCCTGTCTCCGGATGCAGACCGCCGGGACAGCCGCCCGCAGTACGGCTGCCGAGACCCGGGCGAGGGAGAAGCTGCCCCGGTGCCCGCCGACAGCTCCACAGCCGCTCCGGAGGCTCCCGGGTGCCGCCGTGCCCCCCGGGCCGTGCTCTCGCCACGTCCAGCCCGCACCACGGCACACGCTCTGCTTTGTCATCTCTCCCGCCGCAGCGGGCGAGCGCTCCGCGCACACCGGTACGAGCTGCGCGCCCGCCCCGCTGCCTCTCACACCCCCGCGGAGCCGCCACCGGCCGCGGCCAGCACGACCCTGCCAAAGGGAACCGCACCGAGCCCCGCTCCGCGGCTCGCGGCTGAGCAAGGTACCGGTGCCAAACGACCCGCGGCTGCGCGCCGGGTCCGCGCTTCGACATCCCGACCAAACGGGGCGAGGGTGATCCCGGGTGAGGCGGCTGAGGTAGCGCCGGGCAGCGACCACCCGGCGACTCCTCACAACTTACCTTGGGTTTGTAGAGCCACTTTCGGAACCTGTTCATCATCCCCGCGGCCGCTGCCACCCCGCCGCCGCCTGCCGCTGCCACGGGGGCTACCGGCTCCCCGCCCGCACCGCTCGGGGGACCGGCGATAAGCCCTGCCTCTCTGCCGGGAGGGAGAGCTCGGACGGGTCGCAGCAGCAGCAGCAGCAGCAACCACTGCCGCTCCAGCCGGTGCGGGGCGCGCGCTCCCTCAGCGCAGACAGCGGCCGCCGGCACCGCGCGCTGCGCGCCCCGCTGACAGCCCCCAAAACATTGCGCGGCCGGCAGCAGCGCTCCCCCCACCCCTCCCACTCCGCGCATGCGCGGCGCCAGGCCCACGCTCTGCCTCCCCGCGGCCTCTCGAGCCCGCCACCAACCGGATGGCGGCCAGGGGGAGGAACCCTGGTGGACTCGCCCCGCCCACTCGCTGCTCATTTGCGTAACAGGCGAAAGGGGGGGAGGAGACTACGTGTCCCAACATGCCTCGCTGCTCAGCTGGGGACACCCTGCAGCGCGCCTTGGCGTGGGGCATGCCGGGATTTGTAGTCTTCTCCCCCGGCTGCTTTGAGCGAGGTCGCTTCGGGACAGGAAGCCTCTGCTGGTGACAGCCGGCCCACCCGAGCCCGTGACCACAGGGTGAGCGATTCACATCTGCTCCTGAGCGCAAAACCCGAGGAGGGGCGTAACGAATTGCCTGGCAACGGCGGCAAACAATCGCAGCCATCTTTCTTCCCGGCAGCGTAGTTCTTTGCCCCCGGTCGTGCCGTCCTGCAACACTGAAGTGGCCCCGCGGGAAAACTACAGCTCCCAGAAGCCCCCGCGCCTCTTGGCAACAGCGCTGGGCCGGTCCGCGCCACGCCGCTCGCGGCCGCAGCGGGGTCTCTCCGGCTGGACGGTCCGCGCCGCCGCTGAGAGAGGGGCGCCGGGGCTCGGCGGGGCTGGCGGGGGCAGCCAGGGGCAGCCAGGTACGGGGTCGGGAAGCGCCGGGCTGAAGGGCAGCTGCTCGTTCGAGGTTTACCCTAGGCGGCGGCTCCCGCCCCAGGGAGGTTGCACCGCTGCAGCTGCAACACTCCGGCAGGAGCGGCTGTAGCCGGCTGTGAGACCTCAAAACAAGGATGGGTGAAATGGGTGATGTGTGAAAGTGTCAGAAGGCCCCGGCAGGGTCTTCACTTGTTTATTGTGTGTTTATAAATACAACAGAAAAAGTCAACGGGGCCTGTATCGGTCTTTGCTCCCAGAGCTCTCATTAACTCTTGTGATTTAGGGCAGGCAGCCAGCCTTTGTGCCCTTTGGCTTACCGATCTCATAAATATAATGCACTTTATTTGCAGAGGGTTTTGCACAATTAATTGTTAAGTTCCACGAGATACCAGATAAATACTGTGTCGAGTAAAATATTTGCAGTAGGTATGCAAAACCAACCTTGACGTGCATGCAAATTAAACTTAAGATCCAGGCCGTAGCTCCTCAGGGTGAATGTTTTCCATCTGATGCTTTGCTGCCCTACGGGAGGAGGACCTGTGCCCGGAACTGCTCCTCGCTACGCTCAGGTGGCAGTCAGCCATGCAGCAGAGTAAACCAGAATGGCAGGAGGCAGCCACTGGGACAGTTGTACCCTGTGCTCAGTGGCTCTTTTTCTAGCACACAGCTTGGTGAAATCCCCGTTCCATTTTGAGCAGTAGCGACTTGATCTGACTGAATTTTGCAGGGAGGCTTAGTTCTTTTTAAGGCCAGCTTTCATCAGAGGAAAGGCAATCACAGTGTTTGTAGTGTAGGAGCACAGGAGCCGGTGTAAAATCTGAAAGCATCAGGTCATTGAAACCAACCCCTGCAATTATGGGCAAGCTCATTCTATGCAATTGCTTGCACAATATCTCCAAGCCCCATTGTAAGATAAGCCTAAGTCGAGGTCTTACCTCCTGTCAATGAAATCCTACATCTGATAATAGAAGAAAGTTTCTACCTTTTTTAATAGTACAAATGATAATGTATAGTATAAATGATAGTATAATTTTTATACATAGAAATTAGAATATTCCCCTAAATGTCTGTGTGGAAATAAGGGTGCATGTCATAAGACAAAAGCATTTTATTCCTGATGTGTATGTTTTAAAACACTGATTATAATAACAGCAGTTTGTTTAAATACAATCACAAGTGAGGTTCTTTTTATTGAGAACCCCATGTGTTCACAGTTCTCAAGACATTACCATATGACTTAGTTTTCATATTCCAGTTTTATGGATGGGTTTAATGATTAATGAGGGGAGGGGTGACTATCAGCATTTACAGAGCATGAGAGCTCAAACTTATTTCTACTATGCCTTAAGAAGAAATGTTTGTCAGTGGCAGAGCTGCTGGAGCTTGAATTATGATTCAGCCTGAACGAGTACAGAGGCATTTCTTTCTCCCTTATCCAAAATCCCTAGTGCATGTAAGAATTTTGACAGGTACAGAGAAACAGATCACGATTCTCAGAGGTGTGGAAAGATGGTGATTCCTCCTGTGACGGAGATGTGGTAGCACTTCTGGTTTTTATTTCCGTCCCTTGGCATGATCCAGCCCTGTTTTGCTGGACTTTTTATTTTAATTAGACATTTTGTCTTGATCATACTGGGTAACTAAATGTCTGTATCAAACATAATCAGACAAACTTTTTTTCAGCGCTTTGAGGTTAATAACTAAAACTGCTATTAAGACAGTTATTATTGAGTATGATAGTGCTGAAGGACAGAGTACAAAAACACTGTATCTGGAAATGTTATGATACCCTTTTAAAACAAGAAACGGATTCTCTTTACCACAGTGGGAATGAATCATCTTCATCGAGCATTCTTTTCTAACATCAAAATACGATGATATATAAAATGGGAGAATGATTTTCAAAAATATATTTTTATTTTCATCATGGAAAATTACTTCTGTGCTCATTTTTTCTCCCATTGCTAAACCAGATTAATGAGTTTCAGCCCTGATCGTTACTGTTACTGGTCTTTCATACACAACAACATGTGTATGTATATGGACAAATGCATTGTAGTTCTTGTCATAGGAACATTAAAATCAAGGTAGCCAGTTCTGCAGACTCTCACGCATACAAGTAAGACATCATTTGATATAGATGTAATCCAGTCATTTCACAAACAAAGCACCAAGCAGGAAAGGTACCCAACTGCTGGGCCTTCAACAACCTTGACAGTGGCCTAGACTACTGATGTGTTGCAATTGCTGCCCAGCTGGCTGACCAACGCTGTTTGCTTCCTTCCTTATAATCCCTCTCTATTCCTATTCCTTTGTTGTTCTGGAAAATCAGGCTGCTAATAACAACATGTAATAAGATTTAAGACTAAACTTTTGCTTTCTCATTTGGAAGAGCAAGGTATTGAATAAGACCTTTATAGCACACATGAGAAAAATCATGCTTTTCTTATTAACTTTAATTATATTTCATCAAATAACCTGATTCAGAAACCATTTTAGGTACCATCCTAAAGATCATTTCGAGACACTTGCAGAATAAGAAATATGTAATTATGTCTACTATTTTATTGATGTTTGCACTGTATTCTCATTTCTCCAGTTAGCTGTTCCACATAGCCGTGATTTTGAAAGCTTGACCTAAATGTTCTCTTCTACATTACTGCAGTATATCTTCTCTATGAGCCTATCAACATACATTATGCTACAACTGAAGGAAGCATGAAAAATTAATGATTTACTATATTTATAGGATTTTCCGTGGTGAAGATGGTCAGCCATGGAAAACATATTGCAATAATAATCCAACAGCTTGACAAATTTAACCCTGAAACTCAGAGCATGGAGGATTTCTTGAATGAATCAGCTAAACTGTTGAAGGTATATTAAGTTTCACTTCATCTTACATAACATACTTTACTGATTTTATTTTTTATTTTTATTATTTTTTAATTTTTAATTTTTATTTTATTATTATTTTATTTATTTTATTTTATTATTATTTAAAATCACATAGCATACTATGTGATTTTAAATATAAAGGTATCTGTTTCCTAACATGTTGTGGTAACTTCCATTGATTTCTCTTACAAATTTCTTATGGTTATCACCAGAAAACAAGGAAGTAAAGATCAAAGGGGTCTAAAAACTGCTTGAGTAGCAATAAAAAGAAGGGAAAGCAACAACAGTCTCAAATGGATCTGACAGTGATAGGGAAAGTTTCTCATCGACTTTGGACTAAGGACTAAGCTGTTTTATAGTTTATCTCAGGTTTCTGTCAGCACCACCCATTTTTATGTATGAATGCAGTTCAGAAGCTGGCTCAACAGATCCAGGTATTCTTGCTTTGAGGACATAGAGCACAAGTGACAGTAAATCCACCAGCTGATTTTAATCTAATACTGCAAGTAACCAGACCAAGATTTGCCAACATGCAGCTATACTGGCTGAAGCAGTTCCCATCTTTTCCTAACTGTAGCCTCTTCCTGTCTCTGTGTCTTCAGTGCCACCCTGACTTGGGCTGATACAGCTACTGCATTGAATTTGCTTTAGAAAATCATTAAGGGAAGACAGTAATATTACTTAGATTGCTATTGCCTGTGCATGCAATGTATTATCAAACTACATTGGTGGAACTCTGATTCTTCACTGCCATGTAGCTCCAGTGCTCACTTCCACTTCTGGCAATAAGGTCTAAGATTCTGCTGTTCCAGTTAGATAGTCATTTACATTGATTTTGCATATATAGAAATGATTACAAGCATACAAAACTATGGAGGTGTGATACGAAAATCAGAGGCTGAGCCACATTTCTTGGGTCCTTACTTTCTTAAACAGTTTCCACTCAGGTCTCTAGTTTCTGCAGCAGACTCTTTGTCTTGTAGTACTGCATAACTCTGTGCATTCATATGCTGAATTACATCAAGGAACTGATCCAGGTTCAAAGTAATATTTTTTCACTAGGCAGAGAGCAGGTAAATTCCTCTACTTCTGCTGCCAAAATAAATATTTATAAAAATTAGTATTCATAACATTGTTCTTCGCAGCCCAGGAAAGGTGGTACAAAGACAAAAGAAGCAGTAACTCTATTAGAGAAACATGAATGTTAAGTTTCATAATAAACCCTTTCAAAAGGAGGAGGGCAGGAAGGATAGCTGATGCCAAAGGTAATGCAGAAATCTTTCTCTGGGATAGCTTCAGTTTGCTTAGTACATAATATTTTTGCTGTGGATTTATCCAAGAATGTGAAAAATATGTTCTGTGTTTATCTAAAATTCAGCTTTCTTTCAGTACCAAATGGGTGGTTATAATTCATCATGGAAAATTCACTGTATTTCTTTCTTTTCTGTTTCATAATAGGCATATGATCCTAGAAATATTGTAGCACAATTTCCAGGTTTGCCCACTGAACAACCTGCCATTATTAATAGACCCATGCAAAAGCTTCCTCCAGTTTGCATCCTGATTAATGCTATTGCTTTAAATCACAGACAAGATTCAAGCCTGTGTGTCTTGTGCTAGCAGCATGACAAATATCAAACCTGGTGTTGTGTGCTACTGACCAGACAAAAATCAGGAGGGTGAGATTCCATGAGCATAAATCTAAATAACTGCAAGACACGTCTCTCTTAGTATTTATTTACTTACTCAGGTATTCAGTATATCAGACTTGTCTTTTCTACAAGTTACCATCCTGTCTTCTATCAGACTTTTCTAATTAATTACTTAATTAGTTTTACATCCCCCAAAAGTATAATCACATCCCAATCGTTATCAACACTGTACTTTTCATTCATATTATATATTTTTTATTATATATTTTATTTGGATGTTTTAAAGTCTTTAAAGTCTTTATAACCTTCTAATACGATATTTTACATCATGAAAAGAATTTCTATTTGTTGCTGTCAGTGAATGATCAGACTTGTTCTTCTTCCAGGAAGAAAATACACTTTGACTTGTAATTCAGTTATTTACAATCTTCATGTTTATTGTATTGTAAATTATTATGTTTCTAACATAATATCTGACTTGGTTTCAGTGCAAATATTTTCAATAAGAACAAAGGCTCATTAGTAATATGATACGTTGCTCCCACTTGCAACAAACCTTCACCTTAAATCATGAAGAATCATCTTATGTTCTTGAAGCCTCCTAAAAACAAATAATAAGTGCAAATAAATGCTTTTGCTTCCGTGTTGTGGCCTTGTTGCTATTAAAACAGAATTCAGTGTTAATTATCCTGAACAACATACTAACTTAAAATAATTATTTTAGTCTCTCAGTTCTTTAAATTATTAGTATTCCCATTCAAATTTACATCTCTATTTCTGTTCTTCATTTAAATATCCAGACTGCTTCTCCTTGTTTATCTTCCTAAATGTATTTTCAGACTCCTTTCATCAGACTGATGCCCTACAGATAATATCCTCATTCTTGTGCACTGTCATTCTTTTTATTAAATATTCTTCAATTAAATGAATCAAAAATTATTCGTATCCAGAGTGATCCTCCATCCAGCATATACTGTACATCAGGATACATTTCATCTGACCATTTATAGAACTTGTACCTAACTGAGGCATCCCAGGCATTTTTTCTTCCTTGTGACTGTTAGAACCAAGCTTTTGCTATGATGAGGCAGATTTTAACACTGAATTTACCAAGCAATGTTTGTGCCTTTCTCTATGCAAATAACTCACTTTATTTTCAGTGGAATCATTTTTTCAATTAGAGTTGCAGGATCAGACCCATCACATTGACCTTTATACATCCCATCTACTGAAAAGCTTGCTTCTGTAAAATCAGAACTCCCACCCCAAATTCACTGCTTTCCTCCTTTATCCCTCTCATGTTGATAGCAAGATGAACCTATTTATGAGTTTTCCATTTTGCAAGAACATGGTGTAATTTGGCATAGTTCTCTCTAGCTCTCATTTGTGTTGGTTCAGCTGTGTGCCTCACACATGCCCACTCAACTGTGAATAAAATACCCAAATGTCGAAAGTCAGAGATTTAGTTTTAAATCTGAAAATACTCCAATGCAAGATTATTTTGATACATGTGTTGAAAAAATCCTATGAAATTATACATGTCTAATTTGTATTATTAGTTACTGACATAAATGCAGATCAGAATCTTTCTAAGGAAAAGATGGAGTGATTTTTCTGCAGTGTCCCACTCATGATTTCATAGTAAGTACAAGGGAAAATAACATTAACTGCATCTCTTCAAGATAGTCTGCATTATCACATGAAGATGAAAATATTAGTTTGTGACTGCAACATGGACTGCGAATAGCAGAAGCAGGACATTTTCCTACACATACCCTAAGATCCCAGGGTTTTTTCCTCTATGGAAATTACTGGAAACATTTTCACTGACTTCAGAGGGAAGGAGAACACAGTTCTGGCAACTGATTCAAAAGTCAGTGAAGTCAATAGCAATATTTTCTTTCATTTCCACAGCATTTTGATTAGGCCCTTGGAGAGGACTAGCACTGATATCTAAATTACTATAAATTAATCAGACTGCAAATGTACACATTCTGCCCAGTAGTAGACAAGCTAAGTACATACTATTACTCGGTTCTCTTGGGAAGTGGAAGCTATTTTATCTTTTCATTAATATTATCTTCTTTCTAAAGTGTTTGTTTCACTTTAAACTACATCCTTATCCTGAGAAGTCTCAAACAAGGCATGGCTGATTTTCCTTTCCTTGTCTCCAGACACAAGAGCTTTTCCTTCTTTCCTTACACATTCTTTTCTGATCTCTGACCCTTAAATAGGTCCTGTTGTAACCATTTTTATTACCACGCACCCATGGTCGCAAAGCCTGCTTTTTGCAGATGCTTCTCCATTTAATTCATGCTACACATCAAAAATTGTTTGTGTACAACATCCTATGCTTAAGCTTTCTTACACAGTCTTTTCTCTCCTTGAAGAAACCTGACTGGTTCCCAGTTACAGCTGTGTTGGGGAGCAAGGAAAATATGTCCATGGAAGTGGGCTAAGGACATTAGGGATTTCAAAAAAGGTGAGATAATGCCAATCAGCACATATTCAGGCAAGAGTCACTTTTTTTTTACACGATCATTAAGGATAATTTCAGGCAAGATCATTCTTTTACATCTTGGAAATAGAAATAAGCTGAAATGTAATGCTATAGAGAGAATACTTTCAGGTACTTGTATGGGAATGACATTGTGATCGCATATAACTGATTATATCCAATGCAGTCATTGGTCAACGGAATAATATATAGGCTTCTAAGCACTAAAAATATAAGACCATCCAGTACTCATACACAATAAACTTACTATGCTTTATGCTTACCATGCTTTACACAACAAAACAATAAGCTGTAATATTAGAGCTAGAAAAGTTGTTTCCTGAGCACAGCATAGGCATATTTTTCAAGATCTATTTTGTCTTCTGATAAATTTCAGTATTTAATGCAACAGGTGATGTTTGCTGCACGTGTTACTTTCACCTCTGAATTGTCTGGCCTTCCCCATGTCGAAGGACTCACACAACATACTTACAAACAACTAACTGCCACTTGTTTCAGAGAAATACATGAGGTAAAGTATACTTTAAAAGTTAAGAAGATGGTCTGATGGGCAGAACAAAGGCTCACAAATTAGCATTTATTAATCGTTGTTGACACTAATGACTTAGAGAGTCACCTGGAGCAAATCTCTTATCTGCCCATATTCAATGTTCCTGCATTTACAAAATAATATTAGCCAAGGGGAATCTCATTAAACACAATTAATGCTAGTTTTGACAGCCTCATGCAAAAGGTGCTATAAATCTGTCATCATACTGTCCTGTTTCAGGATCATTTGACCCACTGACATAAAATGCAACATAAGGCCACACAGAAAGAATGCACTTAGGAACTGGTGCTAGAAATTATACCTACTCAGTGTATTACTTTCCTAAAGCAATATGATTTTAGATACACAGATAAATTGTAAATATCCTTGAGGAAATTTGTTCAGGACATATTCACTTCCCATGCAGAGAGTATCCTAAATGTTTTAAAACACTGTTTATTGATCCACTAGATTATCAAAAGGTCTTAACCAACCACTGGTTCACCTTCGAGATTTCTTATCCAAGTTTCACCCTGCCCAGTCTTGTTTAGTTTATGATGAGTTCTGATGAGATCACTTCCTTAGATGACACAGCAGCAGGCTGCTTAACTATTCTCAATTTCTATATTTAGAGCAACTTAACACTTAGTACCATTTGTAGTTGAAAGCAGACCTAATTGATAATATTTAGTGACTAGACTCTTTGGCTTGAGGTCCACAGAATTATCAGTCAGTACTGATGCTGGGGGCACAGTTGTGCCCAGGCTGCACCTCCCGTCACCTTGTTGCTTAGCACAAAGCCATGTAGTGGGTATGTACTTACTCAAGGAGCAGGCAGGAGTAAGCACTTATTTCTGTGTTTGTCTTGACAACTAACTTCTGACTTGTAAACTCAGAATGCTAAAAGTACTCTACTAGAGTAGAGTAAATGAAAATATGCAATTGAATTTTTATAACGTCTCTACTGTGTAGGAGATAGGATTTGGGCACTGGTGTCATCTTGTTACCTGTTCGTCTACTTCTGATCATCTCTGTTGTCACACTTTCCACATGTACAATATATCAAAGGACTCAGAAGGGGAATTCAAAGATTATAATTAAAAAAAATATATATATTCTAGCTTTCTAGTGGAGATAGTTGTGAGAGTTTTTGTTGGGCTTGTTTCCAGCTGTCTTGTCCAGTTTTACTATGGGCTTTCTCTTTATTATCAGAGCTACTGTTGTCTGCAGATTGATCTATTCATGAACAATGGCATTTGTTCAAGGGGATTCATTGTTTTAGACTCAAAATGTCACAATCCTACTTCTACTGGAGCTACTTCATCCTCTCTCACTTTGCTGTTCAGGTATTTAGGTTTGCTTTTGCCTTTTGTGGTGAATTTTCAAGTATCTCAGATACCAAATACAGGATATATATTTGAAAGTTTAATGGGGGGTTAGATTCCTGGATTTTCTCTTCCAGTTTTATGGAAGGACTTTCATGAATCTTCATCCAGAAAAGATATACTTGGAATGGACTGTGTGCCTCAGATGGACTCTATGCTTCCCATCAAATTCATTTTCTTGTGTATTTTCAGATACGTTCAACCTCTTTCCTCTGCCCTTCCATTTGTGTCCATCCTACATCTAAGCCCTTCAGTAACTGTTTTCCCCTACTTCCCTTTTCACTCCTTTCTCTGTGCTCCTTTGCCACCTCACTAAAGTGGGCTATATTTTCCAAATGCATTACCATTTATCATGTCAACTACAACCTGTTGGTTCTTCTCTCGTCCTGATTAAGAATGTAGGTGATTCTCAGCATAAGAGACTGAATGCTTATTCACACTCAGTCTTCAGTGCTGCTCAGCAGACTTTATGAAGCTTCTGTTTCTCCATGTAATGATTAGTTTTGTTACACACTTGTTTCTTCTTACCCAACATAGCTGGGCTACAGAATATATTGAAAGTCGTATCTGATTACTTCAGTTACAGAAATAGAACTTTTCTGTCATTTTAACTATCATGGGCCACAAACTGAACTTGATTCTGTATGTGTATCATTAGTAATATTGTCTGTTACAGTTCTGCTGTAGAGAAAGTCAGATGTATTAGTGTAACCCCAGTGGCAACAAAGGACTTATAAGGATATATGTAGGTCTAATTTTACCTGCCTACATGTGTGTGCATATATAAAGGATATGGTGACAATTATATGAAGACACTATTTTTTTTTTCTAGTGATGATGCACAAATTGGAAAGAATGAAGCCTGGCTTTTGAGCAGGAGTAGTGAAAAATAATTATGCTTGCTCTGAATGACAACCCACAAAAATACACTTGGAATGCTTCTGCATCATTTTTTACATTTGAAAATTAGAACTGTCATTTTAAAGTACTGCCTTGTTTTGTCTGAGTCTCAAAGCCCTTTGTAGTGTCACATAACAGAAAGCTCATATAGTTCCTTCCAGCAGCCTCTAATACTACCTTTAAACTAGAATCACATTAGCAAAATAAAGCAATCAGGATGCTAGCAGATAGCCAGGAGAGGCAAGGAGAACCTCTCTTCTGGTATATTATGGCAGTTCAGTTGTTCCCACATCTAAGAGCTTTGGGAGAGATCATGCATCAAATGTGCACTACATGTTTTTCTTGTTGGCTTCTTGACTAATGTCCTTATGTCAAAGATTCATTATTGTTTGTCATTTTGTCCTAGTGTGGCTGCCCTTTTCAATTCATGTAATAAAAAACTGTTCTGGGCCTCAGATTTTATTGCAGTCTTTAAAGGTGGTTCATACTAGAAGTTTATCTCATGTAGTAACAGATATTCCAGAGATTATTTATCATGACTGAAACTCTCTATAAAGTTCAGAGCATTCCAGCTTTTTAAAGGGGTTATGAGGTAGGTTCCAATGGTGTGCCATGAGCATCTGACCCTCCATTTTTCTGTTCTCTTGTGGTTTTGTGTGATCATGAGTGATCGATCAGAAACAGCCTGCATTAACAAGAATCCTGGCACTCACAGGTTTAGTTTATATCAGTTGTGTTCTCCAGTATTAGGTTACGGTAGCAGTTAAGAGTCTTTTCCATAATTCCTGTCCAGCTTCTCCCTTCAATTTAATCTCCCCAAGGAGCACAGATTTCACTGACAAAGAACAGGTTTCCCACTGGAAAAGCAAACTCGTAAGTGAACCTTCTCATACTATTGACTAAGTTAATAATTTCTCATAGCTCAGAGACTGCAGATTTTCTTTGCATTAACTGTTGACATTCACACATCAAGACCTTTTAACTAAATGCATGTGTCAGCAGAGAAACTGAAAGTTTAACATTGGAGAAGGTTACATTTTACTTGACAAGGGCCATTAACTTCTTAGGACTGCCCATATTTGATAGTATTTAAAGTACATCAGCCCTACCAAAGGCACTGCTCTTCATTATTCAGGTTTTCTAATTACTTCAAAATTGTTATACTTTTTGGACACAATTTTCTTTCCAGAATACATTAATCATTATTAATTCTGTATCTCTATAGACTCTTAACGTGGCAGAACAAGAATTTGTGTTGGATACACTAGCTGGATGCATAAAATATAAATCCTTATTGGATGTAGTAGTCAATGCCTTTTTTGTTCGGGATGGGAGATACTGCCTGATTGCTGAGCGTAACCTCTATACAGGTAAGCGGTGTTTTACAATACCAAATGTGTTTACCACAAAACTCTAAAAACCATTACTTTACTAGTGTATTTCTAAATACTGTATTACACTGGAAGCACTGTCATTGTGCCCCGGGCAGTATGCAGTACAGGGCCTTTTCCAGTGGTCTTATGATGTAAAGCCTAAATCCTTAAATTGTTATACAGTCTGGAGTCTCACAGGTCTTAAGTGGAATTTCACCTACAAAAATTCTGCAGAATATGCCTGCAGACCAGGTAACATGCAAATGGAAAATAACATCAAAGGCTGGAAGAAGTATTTTGGAAGCTTAACCATCGCTTAAAAAAAAACGTTCTTTAGTGATTTCCCTTTATTCTCTTCTATGCAACCTGCTACCTCTGCCATTCAGATAAGAAGCTGTATAGTAAAGCCTTGACGGCTGAGGAACACAGCATGTCTCACAATATGAAGATTCAACTATCCCCATCCATACATGGGTTTCTTCATTACTGACCATCACAATGACTTAAGTAGACTTCTGTCTGTCCTAATGAGTGAGGTCAATTATTTTCCTTTTATTAGTTACTTGGTTAGAATCAGTTACAATACGACTATATCTGATAGTATGAGTTAGCTAATCAAAGTGGTTACTACTCCTAAAGTTATTTCAGGCATTGAGAAGTACATTATAAAGTAATTTAAGAAATATTTTTGTGCTATGCATTCAGTACCGATATAATGAAGTAGATTTATTAAGTCCCTAAATAAGTTGGAATCACAAATTGCACTAGGCTCTCTTAAGTCAGAAATGTTCTGAAGCTTTGTGGGTACTTTGAAAAATCCAGTCAATTTAATACAAAGTGGTTGAAAATACAGAAAAAACATCCATATCTAGGTGTTCCTGCTCCGGCAGGGGGATTGGACTAGATGATCTTTTGAGGTCCCTTCCAATCTCTAACATACTGTGATACTGTGATATCTAATACATCAACTTCTTTATCGTTGAAAAGCTGATAACTTTTTATGCCAATTCTGGTTGCTTCTGTCACAATCTGGAATGTTATAGAAAGCTAAATCAAATAACAAATTAAAGGAAACATAAACTGTCAAGGATTAAATTAATAGTATATTGAGTTTATTCTAAATGGTAATGTTTCATTGTCTCCATTTCTCCAGAGCCATGTTTTTCAGTGTCTGGGGCACATAAATTATATCTTTAAGCTGAGTGTTGCTATAATTGGATTGTCAGGACTGGTCCACTCAAAAGCCTCCATTAATCATAGGCAGAGGGTAGGCCCCCGGAAAATTTTCCTTTATCAACAAGTTGAGAGTCTAAGGTCATTGGCTTACATTTTTTTAAGCTGCTTGTGATTCCCTTTGCCAAGCTGCATTGACACTTAACTGATCAAAGCTGCTTACAAAGGCTGTTGCTATGTGTTAGCAGATTTGGATTTAATAAAGCTTGTAGTAGATAAATGTATATTCTACTAAGACTGCTTAAATACGTTGCTATGCTAAAGGACAAGATTGAAGCCTAATGATACACAGACCTGGCTGCAGCACATTGGTCAGAATTCACTGCTTTTATCATTACTGGTTAGTGGCAGCTAAAACGCTGCAGTACAATTGAAGCCTCATTGATCAAAGTGAATATGGTCAAATGAACGTTCATAGAGGAGCTCATGAGCTTTACAGATATGCAAAAATACCCCAGCACTGACTGTGCTTCTTCCTTTCTTCCCCTCTGCCTACTTGCCAGTGGGGTTGCAAGAATCAGTTTAATCCCAGTTTAAAACTTGGGGTTTGTTCTAATTCAGAATTAAAACAAAGATTACAACACTTTCTGCAAAATGGTCACTTGCAAAATAAATACTAGGACATTTTATGTTTAACATTTTTGATATGTATCATTTTGGTATGTCTAATAAAGTATGATTTTGGAACAGAAGAATAAGAGCTATCCTCTCTGAAAGCATTAAAACCACAGTATACTGAAAAATTCACTGTCAAAACCTTTCATGTCTCTTGTTCACATTAAACTGTCTAAGAATAAGCTTGCTTGCACCACAAGTTTTGGTTACACTAAGAGCTATTCCAACAACATAATACTGTCAGAAACTTCAGCCACATCGTTCAGGATCCATTTGACTCCTATTCGCCTTGCCTTGTTGCCAGAGAAACTCAGAACTTCCCATATGGAATATACAGATACCTGCAAGCTAGTACTACTACCCAAGGAAGCAAGCTGCCCTCGTTCTCATCCCTGTGTCCTATCTCCTCTTGAGCTAGAACTTGTGTTTAGCAGCCATCCAGTGAACTGATCAAGGAAGTGCTTCAGGTTAAATTCACAATCTGTTCTAACTTGGCTGTGTGACTGTACTTGCCCAAGAGAAGAAACACCAGGATGTGAAAGGAGGGAAAGGGAACAAGCAATTAGGGCTTTACAGAGCTGCTTGATTTAGGTGAGATGTTGGCATAATAAATGACTGTGAAATCATGACAAGATCTTACCTCCAGCCTAACAGGATTCCAAATGCTGCTATGGTAGATCTCACAGTTTTGCAAACAGGTATTTTCAGGCATCAAAATCTATGAATGACTTCAGATAACTACAATTGCTTTACATTTTTGTGTAAGTGGGTAGATCCTCAGCCTATAGAATTCCATAGAACTGTGTAGATTTGTACTCACTTGGATCTGAATCACAAAAAAGATAACTGATTTATTTTTATATATATACACATATATATATTTATATATGCTAATAATATATGCTCCGGCAGGGGGATTGGACTAGATGATCTTCTGAGATCCCTTCCAAACTCTAACATACTGTGATAATGAGCATAGGGTTAACATTATAACTTCGTATTACAGTTTCTCATTGACAAGCATTATATTGCCCAGTTAGATAAACAGTATTGAAGACTATTCAAAACTAAGGTAACAGCCTAAATCCCAGCATATGCTGATGACAGGGAACAGGCTTATTAGGTTTTCCTGCTGCATTTTAAATGTCTGTGTCTTTTGATAGTTATTTGTTACCTGGCTACTTTTCAACTAGAAGAGCTCGGTCTCCAGCACTTCAGCAGAATTGTAAAATCTCTGGACACTGCAAAAATGCAAAAGGTAATGAAAGTACAAAACATTTTTTAAATATGGATGATGATTTCTTCATTAACTTTGATTAATCAAATCACTTTTGTCAAGTTTCAGAATAATTTAAATTGAGAAATGAGTTATTTTCTGTTTACATTTGGAAATTAAATTAGTATTTTATCACAGAAACTTAGTTTCTATACTCACACAGGAACTATCTCGTATTCCATCAAGAATCAGTTTAAAATGTATTTTATACAATCTGAGAAGGTAGAATAATCACATTATTTACAGTTCATGTGATTCACAGCTGTCCCTCTCATCTGTATACTTGCTCTTGGCTCTGCTTGCATTCTTTCTTTCACTTTAGGAAGGAGAAGCAGCTTTTTCCATATGCAGTGAATCACAGTTCCTGCTGATTAGAGTTCTTTTTCCCTGAACAACCCACTACCACTTCCATTATCAAGCCTATTGTCCTTCCACCACTTTTTCTCCTTCCCAAAAACACAAGTGCTCATTTGGAGCACCCCCCTTACAACAAATGTGCAGTTGACCAAACCATTGCTGCCAAACAGAAAGCAAGGCATCAAAGGTCAGCCTGCCTTTCCCTCTCTGCAGCCACAAATCTGGGCTTTGTTCCATGACTTTTTGGGTAATTTTCTTGAAATTCATAGAAATATAAATATCTCCAGCTTCTCCTTCCTATCTTGAAAGCTATGTTGTAAAAAGGGGCAGAGGGATAAACTGAGCAGCAATGCTTTCTTACAAGACCTGTTTTCTTAGGAAAATGGGCTAAAAATTAAATTACTGATGACACAGCATATGTAAACTTTGATCATCCAGATGTTTCAAAGAATAGTCAAAACATGGCATTTGAATAACTCATACGGAATTCAAGAGACGGGCAAATTTTAGTTATTAATACTGAAAAGGCTGAGGTTTATCCTTACACTGATTACTCTGAATGTTCATGTGGATGCCAGTGTCTCTTTGATGAGTACGCTTTCTTCGTAATATGTGGGGATAGAGTAGGTTAGGTTGTCTGCATAACATTTTTAGAAACACTCTATTCACATTGTTTTGATGGGTTTACTATGGAATGGTTTTTATTAATTCCATTCAGAGACAAAAATGATACATTTCATTAACTGTTAGAAAGAACAGAGAGGTGGCTGGAAGAATTATCATAATCTGGTAGACAGACAAATCACTCTGTCTAAAATGCTCTCCCAGACCGTTCTTTGGTAAACATCCTAGATACAAGCCACTCGATTGGATGCATCTTGAGCTCATTCAGCTAGCAACATAATTTTCCCAGTTCATGCCAGTTATCTCTTGCTGATGCTGTTCACCTAGCTTTACATGGCTTAAGTGTCTGTGCCCTGATGTTCTGTTTTAGATCATTTCTCCTTTCTTCTCTGGAATAACTCTTCTGATAGGGAAGTGCTGCATTGTGCAAGGGTCTGCACCTGCTACCTTTTTTCCTGTAGATGTAACTTTGTTTGCTTAAGTATCTTATCAGATCCTTATCACCATGGTACCTAGCTCTTCTCTTGCATTAGAAGAGGTTCTTTGTCTCCAAAGTGATGCTAGATTATATTAATGCACCTGCAGCAGAAGATTTAGAAGCAGCATTTGGTGTGTGTGTTTCCCCCCCCCCCCCAGCAACAGAGACAAAAACAGCAGAAGGCAGATCTGCAGCCTTAGCAACAGAAGTTATCAGAAATTTGGGATTCTCCTTCAGGATGCTGACCTGTGGATTTTGCTGGATGACTATTATGTCCCAGTTCAGTTGAGATGCAGAAAAATTATTCACATATATTTATTCAGAATAGATTTACTTTAGTTAAAAAATATTTTTTTTCTGCACATCACAGGCTGAATGGAATTTTCTTACTCATGCAGATATATCTTACTCAAGTGAGTAGCCTTTAGTTAAATGAAATTGACTTGTGTGAGTAGATCTTTTGAAGGCCTGTGTGATGGAATCCATTCAAATCACAGTGTTTCCCTATGACTGGTGCATACATTTTCATTTAGGCAGAATACCCAGGCAGAATAATAATGCTACCTCACTCACACATGTTCATCTGCTTGAACAGAAAATCATAAGCTCTCATTCTGCAATATTACGAATACATGCAAAAATCTTTATGGCTGTATAATTACAGAGCCATAAGATAAAACCCAATTTTGTAACTTTAGTGTGATTGTTCTTCTAAGAACTTAGCTATGTATCGCTAGCTGAAGCCTAGTTTTCTGTTCTAGTATTCATACGTGTTAGTCTTTTATCTTTGTTGTAAAACTTAAGGGTTTGTTAGAGAAAATGCACTGTTAAAAATAAACGTTGAAGTAAAAAGCTTTATGATTTCATTATTGCTTTGTAAAAAAATGCAAAATAACCAGTTTCCTTTCTAGCATTCGAGAACCTGTTTTGTTCCACTCCATGTTCTGATTGTTTCTAACAGCAGTAAAGTCCTTTCTAAAGAACTTCTGAGATCTGTTAAGGAAAATCACTACGTAAGATCTGGGTATTGTAATTGCTATTATGATGAGGTAGGAATAGGAGGACAAGATAGTAGGAAGTAGGACAAGATCAGCCTCATGGTGAACATGGGGTAAAAAAAGTCCCAGGTTGGGTCATACGGTAGCAGAAGGACCTGAGACTATGCTAGGACATTTCTCTACACCTTTACCTGAGGATCCTCAAAATAGTGTTGTCTGTTACAATTTCTTCACAGAAAAGCCTTCTTAAGAGCTTCTTGCCTTCCTCTGCATTTCTCTGTTGCAGTTGAAAGGTACAATCTCACAGGTGGTTGAGCCTGCATAGCTGAAGTTCTAAACTACAATAAGAGGGAAAGAATCAGGAGGTGAAGAGAGAAGTGGACAGAAGCCTCCTTGATTGCATTTGCTACTACAGCAAACAGCTGTGGGTATATTCTCAAGTGGCTGACTTTTATGGAGAAACAGAACCGGCTGTTTCTTGCAGTTACTTCCTTAACTCCAGAGTCAAAAGCTTATGTTGTGAATATAAGGACTTCAGCTCTGCAAATTACTGCAGGGATGTAAAGATAGTACCAGATGAGGAAGCTTCCCATTTTCTGTGTTTATTTGGAAATCTGTACAATCCCACTGTGTGAAAATACGTTAAAAATATTAGCAGGGCATGCTCAAATTCTTAAAAGCAAGGTATTCATTCAGCCCATCTGTAAAAATGCTTTACAAAGCTGTCTTTAGTTATACACACTTGTCTTACTACAGCCAGAGTACATTAAAATAGTAAGAATGGGTACAGTTAATTTCTGGTGTAATTCCGCCCCTTCTAGAAGAGAAATTAATCTTAGTTACTATGCTCTGTGAGTTGTGAAACTCTTGAAACATTCAGGACAGAGGAGTAAGCAGAATAATGCTGTTACCAAAATGACTGTCCAGTGCCGTCTCCAAGGAGGCAAATGCTGGTAATATCCAAACAGAAATCTGTGAGTACTTCAAGTTTCATTCTGCTCCTATAAATAAAGCAGTGGCTCCTATAAATAAAGCAGTGGCTGCTGATGTTGGGGTTGTCACCTGTGTCACATGTGGCCGAAGACAAACCGGAAATACAAGGGATTTTTCCTAGCAACTAGGTTCCCAAAACACAGAAGTTTCTATTGTTAAGCAATGAGATGTGCTGTGGCTTCATGGATCTTATTCTACCGACATTTGCCATCTGTGACACACATTATCAAAACCGAGATTGTGGACTTTGGCTCAGTCAGACTCTGGTCAGAAGCACAATAGATGAAAATAACACTAAATTTAAAAGTTAATTCCTTAGAAATGGTCACATCGGGACTATAGGTTTCAAGCAGAAGGCTTCCTACATCTGTTGAACATCTGCAGCAAACACCTTGGGTCAAACCTGAATTGTTTGTAGGTGAATTATTCACAAAGCTCTGAGCCACCTTGGGCCTCGCACCACCTGTGATGTAAGAAGCAACATGGTGGTACTCCAGAACTAAAAACTCAATGCAATGACCTATATGATATATGATTTCTGTGGAAACCAACCCAAGGCAGAGCTGAACTAACAAGCTCCGCAGTCTCCATTTGTAGCTTCTCAAGTGAATGCACACTGCTTTCCAGCATCTCTCATCATGTCAATATTATTTAGTGTGCTTTATTTTTCTATTACTGGAGTTCTTTCAGTATGATCCTTGCTTGTACTTTCATTTCCAAGAATTTTAATGAAAAAGTTCACGTTTGGCATTTATACTGCAGCAAATGACACATGCTGAATCTGAGTGCCGTTTTCTAAGAGTTTGTTTCAAAAGGCCATTTGAACTGTTCAAGTTTTAAAGCAAGGCTCTTGACCTTCTGGTGAACTCCAGTGGGAAATGAAAGTTCAAATGTTAATTGCTATTTTTCCAGCATGTACAGCACTACAATATGTAAGTTTGCCAAATTTTAGTCTTCTAGTTTAATGGAAATATGCCAGTTAATTATATTTCAATAAAAGAAGAAACCATATCGTACAGCAGTTACAGTGTTCTCAGCAGTTCTCCTTGCCCAATTCTCAGAGAGCTGAAGGGAATTTAAGTAATACAGCTGCAGTGCCAGGCCTGACATGTTTCTGGGTACCAGGGATCATCTAGCTATAGATAAACAGGAGTTGATTGTAGGTGTAGTATACTCTGGAACTCTATTGTATAATTACACTAAAATCAGTGTATTTCAGTAGAAATTAATTTTGAATAAAACCTTTTGTTGCACAATGTTTGAAGCAAATGAAAGGCATCAACACAGCCCCATGTTTTGGCCCCTAGATTTTTTTAGGCCACTAATAATAGTATCTATTTGTGTTTGACAAAACAGGGCTGAAAGACATGGGGCTGTCCTAACAGAACTAAGGAGAACCTACAAATGCTGTGCAGGTGTGATTATAATTACAGGGTGATTACAATTACAGGCAAGCTTTTCAGCAGTGTTTGTAGTAACAGCAACTATCTTTTTGTAGTCTTACATACACCATACCTTAAGTATCCATGTTTAAAAGAAACCACTTCTTCTTAGTTTCTTAGATTCTTCTTCAATCCCTTGTATCTGAACACGTGGATAAAAGATGAATGGAGTCGGTTCTACAGTTCACTGTATGTAACGGAGAACTGGATTGATCCACTGCTGAGGTAAGCAGCACTTAAGTAGCCTTTGGGCACCTCAGAGTTTAAAAGCTGGGAAAGCTGCCTTTGAAAGCTCAATTTGCTGTTAGTTTCTCCTGTTGAAGTCACTCAGAACCCTCCTTGTCTTCCACAAACTATAGTAAGCCCTTTTACTTACCCAGAGGCAAGGTTCTGCTATGGAAAAGCCCTTTCAGAGCTGTTGTGAATTTGGTCCTCAGTGACCCTGGACAGATCAAACATCATATTCTGATTAAAAAAATAAAATAGAAGGTTCAGATTATCATAGAGTTGGACTCATGCCTCATAAATCACTTCAATATCTGTATGATATTAAGCATTTAAAAAACTATGTTTGACTTCCCTGAGTTTGGCTTTGTGCACAGACTTGTTTGTGGCAGTGGTCATGTAATCCCTTCTGAAAAAATCAGATAAGCAAGTAAACAAGTATTTTAAAATTATTACTTATTTACACAATTGCAGCATCATTTAACAGGTTAATGCTCCGAGGTGCCAGGTGTGTCCCCACACTGGTTAGGTGGTGAGACAGGAGCTGAAATACCTTTGCCAAACTGGAACACTTTCATGTAGAGAAAGTAGCTCTGCAGTAGCTGCAGTAGCTCTGCAGCCTATTGGGTAACTTTTTCACTCTCATTTTAACCCGGGACAAATGAATTAGGGCTGGCACTGGTACACCAATGTGGCTGCAGTCACTCATCCTCCTCACTGCACTGTAAATTAACCCAGATATGACAAACACTGTCAGTCAAAAATACACTACAAACAATGTCAGCTGAAAAAGAGTTTGCATGTAGTTCTAACTGTCATATCCAAGTCAGTAGAAAGAATCCTTTCATCCTATGTAGAATATGCCAGATTAGCAAATGTATAGTATGGATTTGGCTTGTGATACTCTGTATTCCACTGAATTCTGCAAGGATAAATCTAAAGTCAGAATATTACTCAATATATTCCATCATAGTGATCTAATTATAATCTATGCTTACAGTAGTATAAAGATACAGATGGAGATGTGTAGGTAGACATATACCCACATATCCACACAGGTTTTGTATCTACATATGCAGGCAGGCAGGGGCTTAATCTATTGCTTGTTTCACCAACACCAAGCTTTCTGGAGCTGTCCTTCACTGCCAATTGCCTTCAATATAATGAACACATGTTTTGCCTAAACTAGTAAATACAAGTTATACAAGAATGTTAAAGCCATATTTGGTTACCGGATTTGAAACTTCCTTAAGGGTTTGAGGATGCATTGATCAGTTTAATCAGTTTAGTAGCTTAAATGCTTTTAAGTATGTCTTTGTATTCCTCTTTTGAATGTCAATGAGGTTAATATGATTATTTTAGTAGGCTGCATTATTTGCAGAAGTTACTTGCAAGCTTCATCCCATAATGACAGTACGATCGCAGGTAACAGCCATATAATTGAGTTACTGTAGATTTGCATTGTCAGCTGCTCTTCAAGTTCTGGGAAAGCTCTGTTGCGTATCTAATACTTAAGGATAGAACACATACAGGGGAGGAAAAACTGCCATGAAGCTGTCACCATAAGTAGCCCTCTAATATCTTGTTTGTGCCTTTGAATTCTGCCCCTTCCTGCCATTCACTGGGAAAAATCTGAACCTTCATACAAGCCAAAATCCAACCACAGAGAAATCAAAATCATCTTGACTGTCCCAGAGGGTTCACTGAAAGTTCATTTGCTAATTCACCAAACTCCTTACATCTTGCTATTCTTTTATTAGAACTGCCTATGTTTTGAGACTGATTGATGTGTGCTCTGTCAGTTGGTAGAAGTGGCAATACTCAGACCACTGTTCATATTCTCTTCTAAGTATGTTAAGTGTGTACTTGGCTTATGGCAGCTGCTTTTCTGATTCAGTCTGGTCCTGCTGCAAAATGATAGTTGCTTCTTGAGTAGAAACTGGTTCTTTCACCTTAGTTGTCTATCAAGAGATGAGGTAACACAGTCTAACTGTGTGAGTGCATGTTCACAGGTCAATTCTATTTAAATTCAGTGTCTGAAAGCATTACAGGATTCGCACCAATGCCAACCTCATCTACTGCATGTAAGTTTTTATGAAAGAAAAAATGAAATAAACTTGAAAAATCTGTTTTTATTTGAAGATGGCAGCCAAAAGTACAGCAACTGATTGAGCAGCTCACAGATAAGTTAAGTAACCGCACCACCACTGTCAAGACTTCAGCAGTCACTCAGCCAAAGGAATTTAATTTGACAGTACCCAAACCACGTGCCATTCCCATACCTCTGCCGATACCAGTACTGGAAAAAGGCCTGCCTGTGAGTTTTTTATGCATTAAGAGATACTAAGTTTTAGGTATGCTTGTGCACAAATGATGACAGGGGAGTTAATAGTCTCTTTAACGTAATTATACAAAATCTACAATCTTTGACAGATCAATAAGGATTTTTGTAATGTTCTGTGTTATTGAAGGTCAGGTTTTTAAAACCAACCAAACTAACTCGTTTTATTTCAGCGAATGTTTTGTAAGAAAGGAAAGGGAAAAGGTTGGTTCCCATAGTTTTTTGTGACTTTTGGAGGTAGAAGTATACAATGGGTACAAACTGATGGCAGCGTTGATACAAGTGTTTCTGGTAGTCCTTGGATTTGTAAGATGTTTGCTTTGAATAATGAACTGAAGCAAGTAAGAAAAGAACATTCAAGTGATAACTTTTTATAAATTTATATGCTTTGTAGATGAACTCTCATTAAAATAATAGCAAAGCAATTTCACTGGAGGTGAGATGGACTTGAGGTTTGCAGCTCCTCCTTAAGGGTGGAATTTTATTCCTATTTGTATTAATGATGAATCTCTAAAATTAAAGTTTTCCAGTTTAAATATATTGATCACATATAAATGAGACTAGATTTATCTTTGAAATGCTAAGCTTTTATTTTACTTATTGTCTAAGATTGCGATTCAGTTACAGTGATACAGCTCAGAGACACACGACTGGCTTTAAGTTAGCTCACTGCAATAAGGCAAACAGGATTTGGGATCAAGCTGCTATGACTAACTTAATAAAGACTCCAAAATCATCTATATTTAAATGAAGTGGGAAGTGAGTTTGGAAGTCATACTTTTGGACATTATCTGCCACCTTGTATTAGCACTTCAGGTTTTAAATAATACATGTGTTGAATGCTCTCAGAAACCATTTACATCCTAGGATGGCAGAGCAATTTAATGATACTGTGTTATACAGTTAATGGGATTTTATATTGAAACAGCTTAATACCAGACTCTGAAAAACTGCATTTAATAACCACTTAATCAGTATAGGAATGAGTCACATTGCTGTCATTTTAGTACCTTTATGCTGTGCAGCCCCTCTAAGAATAAATTTGCTTTAATGCAGATGCATTTACAGAAGTTCATTTGTGTTGTTAGGATTATACTAAATTGGGTTTACATTCTGACCAAGCCTGCAAATTTAAAAGCTTGTGTGAATCTAAAACTATTAGTGCAGTAGTGACATATGTTGTGCTTATCTCTGTACCCATCTCAGCAAATTAAGCTTCACTTTAATTTTCCATACTGTTGCCAGTATCACCATTTTAGATGCTGAAATGAATGGAGACTGAAAAGAGAGCCCAGATGGCAAGAAAGAGTTAGTAAAATGAGAGCAGGCCATAGTTTTGGCTAATGTGTGGTGGAGAGTTGTATGTAACTGAAAGGAATGCTCAGAAATAAACCTTTTTCAGACTACATCCCATAATCTGCAGAAATGTTCTCAACCATTTTCTGACAAAGTTGTTTGTTTTATGAGGTACCCATTTTTTCTCACAGTTCTCATGCATCTGTCAAAGAACTTGTCATGTGGTGTATTAGCAGGGACTATTGTAGTCACAATAACTACAGGCGTAGTTACTGCTCAGCTTTGAAAGAGCTGTATGAATTCCTGTGGAGGCGTCTGGATTTTGAGCAATGCCTACTGATCAGTTATTGCATCCCTATGGTGAAAGGAGTTTATTCTGATTAACAGGATTATTATTTAAGGTATTTCTTTCTGCTAGGTTGCATTATATTTTCTAGTAGAGATAAAATGAGATGCAAGATGGGATGTACAACATAATTTGAGTTCAGGAGGTGGGGAAGTACTTCTGCCCTGTTCCTCTGGTGAAGGAACACAGGTTCCTTCACCAGGGAGGAAGAGTGATGTGAGATACTGCAGAAGGCAGGGTGGTTGTCTTAGTGATCTGTATTGAGATGGGACTCTCCGCTGACTTTGGGAAGGTTCCTTGAAGTAACATAGACCTAGAAGGATGATCATTCATCATCATGAATGTGCCTTAGCAATGGGGGACACTAAGTGATATGGAAATACACTTTAAGTTTTTAATTTAATAATGAAACATTTCACTCCAAATATTTGGCCTAAATATTATAAATCCTTCTCTCCACTGTCCTTTGCACACAAGGACATGGATACACACACAAGCATGCACATATATATACACACCTTTATAAATACACTTCTACAAATTAAAATAAGTGCTTCAGCTTGAAGTTTGCAAAGGAAACAAATGGAGACATGCTCAAACCTCATAACATGCAAAATGATTTGGACACATTTAACTTCTTTGGATCTTGGCCTTGGGCTACAAATAAAATCCATTCTTTTAATGTCACCACTGCATTAGAATAATAAGATTCTGCAATTCTTTTATTTTTAGATTTTCTGTAAACCAATCGTCTAGTTAAAAAAAAAAAGTAGCTGCACTGAGATGTTACTGCAACACCCTTCAGCCAAATTTAGCATATTTTTTGATATATCCCTTATTATTTCAGCTGTGCTTCATAAGTGGAGTTGCTGGTTGTTCAAAGTAATTAAATGGGTGAATTCATTTGGACAATACAGAAGATTTTGTTTGCAGATACACAGACCCAACAATATATTTATGATATTGTTATGGATAAAAAGAAAAGCTCTTAATACAATAGCATTGCATTAGTTTGCTCTTGTTTATCTTATGACAGCAACTTTAAACAAAAGAGCGAAGACTACCAAAGTTCAGATTATTTATTTAGGTCTTCCTTAAACTTCTTGTGGTATCTACTCCCTAAATAAACCTCTAGTAAGGACATCCAGAAAGCAAAGGGAGCCTGACCACTGGCTGGAGAAGAAAAGCAAGGTTGTTGCCTCTTACTCCCAGCCCCTCTTTTTTTCACATTAGGATGAAGTAGGAACAGTTTGGGCTTTTTTATATCTCTATTGCTGGCATTTTCAATTTACTTACAGTGACTGATCCTCTTCCAGCAAGTGGGTAATTGCTGTATTGTCTATCTGCCTGCCTGATTGGTGCTCAGCACTGTGGTACCTGAGGGCTAAACTACAAGGCTAAGATCATTTTTGAAACAGAGCTGATTGGAAAGTCTCCTCCTTAAATAACTTGGAATAAGCAGAGCAGTTCCTGAGGAGGGATCTTTAGTTTACACTGGCAGATGAGCACAGTTTTGCAGGTAAAGCACATGACTAGGAAGAAGAGTGAAATAAACCAATACTCACTGCCTGTGCAACCCTTTTCAAATCCTCTGGGCTTTAATTTCTCCATCCATAAAAGCATAATAAAAATTCTTAGATACTGCTGGGAAATGCTTTCAGTTCTACCTCACTTAAAAAGCTCACAAAAATACTTGAGCACTCTCACCAGTGCATTTAATTGCTAGCTTCTTCTGTTTGCACATTTATTTCGTCTCTAGATAATGATGTCAAATAGCAAAGGCAATGGAAAGTACATCACATTCATGAGAATTTCAAAGCATAGTTCTTTATATAGTCCAATAAATCTAGATGGGATCCCCATGTTCCTCCAGTACAGTACAGATTATAGATTTTTCCCATTAAGTCTTGAATTAATTCTGTAATTTCTAATTGAGATGTGACAGTTTTAGCAAGATAAATATTTTAAGCAGATATAGCCTTCCAGTATCTGAAGGGGGCCTATAGGGATGCTGGGGATGGACTCTTCATTAGGGACTGTAGTGATAGGACAAGGGGTAATGGGTTAAAACTTAAACAGGGGAGGTTTATTTTGGATATAAGGAGGAAATTCTTTCCTGTTAGGGTGGTGAGGCACTGGAATGGGTTGTCCAGGGAGGTTGTGAATGCTCCATCCCTGGCAGTGTTCAAGGCCAGGTTGGACGAGGCCTTGGGTAATATGGTTTAGAGTGAGGTGTCCCTGCCAGTGGCAGGGGGGTTGGAACTTGATGATCTTAAGGTCCTTTCCAACCCTAACTATTCTATGATTCTATGATTCTATGTCCAGTAAAGTGGCAGACTATCCCACCCACATGGGTGGGTGAGGTATTACATTGGACAGGACTGGAAAGCTTGGGGAGTCCCAGCTAATTGGAATCTGTCCATGTCTTCTACACTGGCACTGATAGAAAAAAATCAATAATTAAAAAATAACTGCAGCCCTTCTACAGTAAAAGTGAATGTGTTTTTTTCCTGTAAGAATGTGTCACTTGGAATATTTCATACCCCGTATTGTAGAAATTATTGCCTTTTAATATAGGTTCCTCCAAGCACCTACAAACCTCCAAAGGAAAAAAAGCAACTAGAGCAAATCAGAACCCAAAATCGCCAAAAAGCAGAAGTAAGTGTATTATGTTCTTGTTCTGTTTTTTTCTTTCTTCTAAACTGTTTCTTCTGCAACATTCCATCTTCACAAGTCTTAGAACTTTAACTGAAACATACTTGCTTTTACACCTAATAGCTCCTGGCTCTTCCTCTACGGACATGGAATTTGTATCCTGTATTCTGTTCTATCACCGCTTTTCCATCTTCTTTATTTTATTAATAATTGTTCTTTTATTCACAAGTACTATTTGAGAAATTATGCAAGTAGCCATGTAAGGTAGCAGAAACACAATTACTCTCTTCGAAAGCTTGAAATAGTTTAATGGCTCTTTTACTCCCACAGGATGTGGATATTTAAGGTATTCACTTAATAATTAAGGCTTCAAAATACAGTGTTCAATACTTTTGTTTGTTTTCTATAGTAACTGATAAATGCCCACGTCATCACCTACTGTTTTAAAATGCCAGCAGATTTTAACTCCTTTTTTGTGCAGACTCCATACTCTTTCTATCAGCAGGCTGAGTGAGTGGGAAGTGTGCATGATTTGTAAAGAAGCAGAATACATTGTCTGTGTGCTAAGAGGGCAGGAGAAGGGAGGGCCTAGAAAAACAAAGAAATAGATCTAGTTATTTGATCCAAACTTTGATACGAATCCTGTCCAATGAGTTAGCTCCTACCATAGTTAATAGATTGTTGTCCTCTTCTCCTTGAAGGGAATTAATTAAACATCAGTTTCCACTTTCTTCCTTCCTCCCCACATTGCAGTCACCATATCCAATCACAGAGCAGTATAAGCTTGATAAAGGCATGCTACTTGACTCCTTTTTATCTGCACTTGCCCACCCCCTTTCTGAAAATGGCTTACTCAAGCTTTCACTAGTCAGTACAAGTTCATTTATCACTGTTCTGGGCTCTCCTCATGTCCTTGTGAAAGGAGCATTGGATTCTGCTATTAAACCATAGTAAATGCCTTGATATGGGATAGATCCGAGGGGATACACTTTGCATTCCTTTTGCTGGCCCATCACATTACTTATGCTTGTTATTTTATTATAAAACAATACAACTTTATTTTTTATCCTTTTATTATTTCCGTATTGTGGATAAAGCATACACCTATTTGTCCATGTGCTTGCTTGTATATACAAACATCCTAGAAAAACTGGGGAGGAAAAGCAAGACATCACAATGCTTATACTGTCAAAAATCTATGACAACTATAAAATCACTGAAACCACCAGCCACGTTCTTCAGTAGAGAAAGTGCATGAATACAAGGAACAAAGGAAAACCACCACAGAAATTATAGCTGCAATAACAGCAGTTTTTGTTGCCTCTGGAATGTTACAAAAGGCATCCAAAGCATTCACAAAGGTCAGTTCCCTAGACTGTTTGCTAAACAAGCTGAAATGTTGGGTCCTAAAATAAATGTGCATTAAAAAATGCCCTTTGTTTCATAGCATTTTTGCAGAAGCTATAGCTGTCACTGTATAATCTCTGAGCATCTATAAGGACTGAGAACACTGGAAACTGTTCTCCAGACACTTATAGAAGCTCTGATGTTATGGGCAGCTTCTGTCCAGAAAGCCACTAGAAAATCTATGTGTTTCATAGCTATGATTAGAGATTTGGATTACAACCAAAAGGAATATCCCCAAACTAGAAATGTGGCTGCCCATACTCACCACTTTAAACTGACCGGTAGGATTACTGCTAGGGGTGTGCCTACTGGAGCAAACCTCAGTGTTCAGATCCCCCAGTCATGATCTTCATTGTTAGCTATGTCGAAATAATTAGTACCTAGGGTACTAATGTGCCACAGATAATTATGAGGTTGAATTCTAGGTGAGCAACATGTTTCATATATGAAGACCTCTCAAAGGCATGATGCAAAGATACAACCAGGCAGAACTATGTAGAAAATCAAGACTTGCCCACTTCCAAGTCTTTAATCAGGAATGAAAATACTAGATCAAGCTTTCATTCCTTGCAAACAAGTTAATATACTGAGTTGCAAGGCTTTTTGAAACAGAAAATTCTTACTACAGAATGTACATGTACCACATTCCTTAAGCAAATTGCTTTCATTTTAGGATCTGCTCCTGAAAGCAAATGCTGACCGGTTCAAGTGTGCAATCATGAAGTCTGAAAAGGCAGAGGTATGCTACAAAATAGTTTATTGCCTACAAATTTACCAGCATGAAGATGAAAAATGACTGGAGTATTTAAAAATATCTTAAAGTATTCAAAAATTTTTGTTTACTTGGGGTTAGGAATTATGTGCTTATCATTTATAGTTGTACTGTTATTTCACATCCATATACTAACATTTGCCTCTTTGGGTGCATAATGCACAACCCATTTTCTTATACTTCTTGTGCTGCTTTATTAGTCTTCTAATTTGAGAAAAGCAGCCTTCCTGTTATACCCTTCCCAACAAGTCCCCAAACTGGCCATTTTTCTCTAAACCCACATATTATTTTCCCATTACCTTTTATGCTACAAAGCAGACAAACTGTGGGAATAATGGTCCCATGCTTTGGCTGATTCCCAGTTCACAAGTATGTCACCAAACTGCGTGTAATATATCAATGTATACTCATTTCAGCATCACATCTGCATATTCTATTCACTGTGTTCATCCCCATGGTCCCAGACACTTCCACATCAGTATCTATAGCCAACACCATAAAATTAAATTAATAACCATCAGTAGAATTCTACCACTGTTTAATATTTTCACAAAGTGTGCTTTGACACTCTACTTTGTCTTACCAATACCTATTTCAGTTGAGCTGAATATTTTAATATAGGTAAGTAATATTTTCTAGTCAAATAAAGCATTGCTGTTACGTTTTTATCATTATTTTAGACAATAAAATTTAGTCAACTTTTGGATTTGCCATTGTATAGTCATTTGGTACAAAATATTCCCTCTAAGTTGGAAATACATAGTAAGTTTTTGTGGATATAGCAATTCCAAAATAAGTCCCTTATGATAATATTTGTTACTCCATATTAATATTCTAGGTGAATATTCAAGACTGATTTTTTTGTAAATATCTAGTATTTTTTGCTGTGTACTTGAAAATCTGTCTCTGAAATGAATTAATATATTTTTGGTTTGAACTGCAGAACACGCAGTATGAAGACAGCATGAAGAGTAAATTTCAGGCTCGAAAGGTTCAAAGGAAGGTGAGTAACCTCTAAGGTACTGTTGTCAGATGTACTTGAAAACTTCCAAGTGAAAAACATGCAAATTCTGTGGTGCTGCAAACTCTACTGGAATCCATGTTTTTATGCTGTAGCCAGGACCATGGGAATCACGGAGCCTGTGGCTCAAAAAGTTTGGCCTATGCACTATTGACAATCCAAAAGGTATGGTCAGGGAGCAGCAAGTGTGTGGCAGCTCCAGGAGGGAAGAGAAACAAGGAGCAAAGATGATGAAAGCATAGGCAGCGTCCTCACCAACCAGGCCACAGCATCTGAACGTGACAAGGTTGGTGGTAAAGCCAGGTTCTGCTGAGAGCAAGTCATCATTAGACAAGCAAGTTAAAAAGTCAGGTCTGAGGCCACTCAGCAAGTCCAGTCAGGAGGCAAGGCTTCAACAGCAACCCAAGTCCATGACAGCAGGAGACAGAGCTGGAGACAACCAGGAGCAGAATTACTTCCAGCATAAGGGGAAAGACTGAAGCCCATAACTGAGCTTGAGTGGGCCTCCCAGACAAGTGAGCAGAAGGTGTGAAAGGAGGTTCTAAGTGAGGCTGGTCAGGGCAATTAAGACACATTGGTTCCCTGAGGGGCCTGACAGGTAAGTCACATGCAGTTCCACATGACTTCACATGTAACCGTATTGCCTTAACAGTGCTTTCAACTGCAAAGGGAGAAGATTTAATGTAAAATGGTAAGGACTGAGAATAGTCCACAGAAAAAAACAAAGCAAAGCAGAATAAAACAAACAACCCCCAAAAAAAACACAAGAACTGTAAACCCCTGGTTTAAGAGCTCAGCATAGGGACAGAAGAATATTGTGTCCATAAATCACTGTTTCAGAATGATATCCCAGAGGATGCTGAGTAGACATTCCAGGTAATGACTGCCTGATACACAATATACAATCAGTCTGGATGTTTGTCTTGTTTCCTTTAGACACACACTGAGGTTATAAAATCCACTATACTGATTGCTGCTTTGCTAGAATTTCCAAGAGTCAGAGAATTGTAAGCATGGAAAATGGGCTGTTCAGGCTTACTGCTACAACACATGAAAAATGAAGTTGGTATTTCTGCAATAACTACTAGAATCTTCAGTCTTACATCATTCACCTTTCATTTGTTCATATATACAATAATTTAATGTGGAAGTTGCCCTTGTATTGTGACCTCAAATATCTTCCAAACAGGTCTACCTATTCTTCAGAACTATGAATTTCGGTACAGTTCACACACACTTTGTAAGACTGATTCCCTGTTTGGGGAACTGGACATCTGGCAACTGTTTCTAAAGCATAGCTGGCATTAATCATATACTGAAGTTATCTTTAATAACAGTATCACTGACTCAGAATCCAGCAGCACTAAAATTATAGGAAAGCAGTAAGATCCCAGTGCCTTCTGCACTTTGGGGGGGAGGGGGGAAGGAACAAACCAGGAAACACTTACATAGTTAACCCAAATACACGTGACCTATAATTATGTGGGCTTAGTTCAAGACTAGGTATATCCCGCTTCCTTTTCCAGTAGTGTAAAGTACTGAAACCTTAGTGGGGGCTAATGAGAGTCAAGCCACCTCCTAACTGCATAAAGTATGGGTTTGGCATCTTATGGCATTCATTAGGGCCAGTTCTAACAGCTGCTAGTATCTCCTCTAGGAGCATAGTCAGTTTTATGTCATCTGAACATATTTGCCTTAAAGGTTGGTTAGGTGATACCCAAGATGCTGCTGTAACTTCCAAGCTGAGACAGGCATATTGTTACTGACTTTTAAAATACTTCTTATTCCTGTTATCTTCCTGCCTATGCAACTCTGTGAGCAGACAAATCCTAAGAGGAAGGTTTGTCCAAGATGTATAAATAGTATTATAATGTGTCCTTAAATTAATGGAATTATATAATGTTTTCATCAACTAGCATTTTCCATTCCTCTTTTTAGAACATCCACAGTGTATTAAATATATTTTTTCATTTCAGCCACATCTATTATGTGCAGCAGCAATTAGTTCTCATTGCTGTTACAAAACATCTATTCATCCTTTTCACTGGAAGAATGAGACAGTACAAATGCATCATCACTGTCTCAATCTGCCTTTTGCTCATATCAGGCCTTGCTCTTTACATATTTATTACTGTTGGTGAGCTATTGTGTGTTCATTATGTGGCAATAGTAAATACAATTATTTTCCACAAGAATTCCAGAGTTCTGCCATTTTCCTAATTATTTCCATATGCTCATTTTGAAAAAAAAAAAAAAAAGGAAGATATCTCACTACAGCAAAAGATAGAGTAAAATGCAAATCTTCTTTGATACAATATGACATAAAAGAACCTATTCAGTTATTTTACTTATAACTGTCTTCATATGTCTTGGTAGTCCGAGTTATTTTGACTATCTGGGTTGTCATATTTCATTCATTGCCATACAGTCATATTTCTGTTTAACAAACTGGGAAACTAAAGTTAAAGGCATTTCCATAATCATTCTTTGTTCTGTTCCCTATCCAAATTATGGTTAGTAAATAAACAACATGAAATCTGTTTACACAGGTAATTGCCAAAAAATAAACATTTCTATGTGTATCGGAGAAAATGTCTACTCTAAGTAGGTATTTTATATACAGGATGGTGGATAGAATACAGGATGGGAAGAGATTATTTATGTAATTCAGGAGGCTTTATGAAGAATTGAGTAGACCAAAAGGAAGAACATAATTAGGCATTAAGAAGAGTAAGGATAGTGAGTCAAACACAAGAAATAAAATACAATTGTTTGGGTTCTTTTCCTAAATTCTTCCAGTTATCATATTTTGTTCAAACCAGACAGGTAATTAATTCTCATCCATTAAAATGTGCCATCTCTCTGGAAAACACAGTAGTTCTACTTAGTGAATTTCTATGTGATAGCATATGCTTGTTATCTTCAACCTACCTATGTAACATCAATTATAAACCATCCTTTTTCCAGTTAGCTTGTGTATTTCAGGTGAGTATAGTCCATATTTATGCATACAATATTTGCAGCGTATAGCTTGAGTGATTCTGTGCTCTGTTTCTCAACCACTCATTAAGCTGCTAATTTGGGATTTAAATACATGTTTGGATTCTGAACACGTAACTTCTATGGATTTAGGTCAAATGTGTCATGACTGAGCTTTGTTTTCTGCAGAAATTATCCCAGTTCTTATCCCACCAGCACTGCTTTGCCTCCATTCAAATCAGGTCTCTTACAAAGTCTGCCTGCAAAGGTGATGTATTTTTTTCTGAACAGCCGACCTGTACAGACAGGGAACAATTTTAACAGTTAGAGCGCTTGTTCCCTTCCTCCCTCAGTATTTAGAGGTTGTCTTGGAGTTAGTCCTAAGGCAACTTTGAGGAACTGAAAAACAGCCACAGCATCTAGTGCAACTTACACCAGGAAGCCTGAAAGTCACTGAGAACTGTACCTCACCTCTATTAGCTAGAAAATGGATACAGCAATTGGTGATGCCAGTTGTCTTAGAAATAGTATTTTGAAGCCCTAATAGTGATTAGAGACCTTGCTATGAAAAGTACTGCTTATGTTTGACTTTAATGGTTTTGGTTAACCTACCCTCCTTCAAAGAAGCAGTTTATTTTCTTTGTCCAAAAGCAGATGGAATCCCTGCTCACTATGTATATGAGCACTGAAAGAACTGAAAGGAAGCGAACACATTCTATGGGATTTGACATGGTCCAAGAGTGATTACAAATTTATAATCCACTTGGGGGACTTCACTGATTTCCTAAGCAGCTTGAGTGGTTTATGAACAGCATGCAATTTCATTGTGAATGTCAGACTGATGCTAGATGAATGCTTTAAGCAAAATTTATGCTATCTTAGGTCAATTTATTTAACCCATTGAAATGTTTTTATACTCTGTTTTATGGTTTACATTACTGACTATAGTATATACATTCCCTTTCCTGACAGATTGACAATATACCTATTAAATTGAACGCTGCAGCTATTTTAAGAGAGGGTGCCCTCTATCAGCGGAAAATGGAACAGGAGCTCAAGAGGTATAATCACACTTCTCAGATTACTTTTCAAATCCCTGGATAGAAAATAATTAACCACATTAAAGATAATTTAGTAAATTCCAGGTAAACTAAAATAATGGATCTGTTGTTATGCATCAGGAAGCTATTCTAGAACACAACTGAAATATAAAGAAAGAAGTGGAATGAAATGAAAGGCTACATTAAAGTCACTGTTCTACTGTAGATGCTGTGCAGTGGGGCTGTGTTCTCACTTAGCACTCTGTCTAGTGTCCACCTGCAAATTCCAATAAGCACCACTTGTATTTATTCCCATTCTCCAGAATAAATGATGACCAAAATACACATCTATCTCTCTGTCCATTATGAAATGCATATATATATTAAGCTATACCATTTAATATATCTCAATTTTCTTCAATGGTTTCAGGTCAACTACATAACAAATTTGATACTTGAATTTGTTTATATGTGTATAAGAATACCTGTCAAATTGTGTCACAGTTAGATTGGAGGATTAAGGGTGTGATGCTGCACAAGATAAGCTAGGTGTTGAGGGTGGCAGCAAAGCAGGTAAGGACAATGTCCTCACTGAGAGCAGCTCAGTTCCATAGTTCCCTGGCAAGACAGCAGAGCAGATTCAGTGACAGATGGAAGGGTCAGCCAATGGTCCAGTGACTGCTGTATGAGTCCATAGTGATGAGTCAGGGCTGAGGTCAAGCCAGGAAGCCAAGTCAACAAGGCAGGGTCATCAAGGTGTTAGGCTGGGTGCAGACATACCTACAGTGTAGCTTAGGCAAGGACAAAGGCTTAAATGCAGCTCCCAAGGAAATACTCTGTGAGCTAACTTACATACACTCCACCTAAACTAGCAGGACTTTTCATAGGTCTTCCTCACACAGTAATTTCCACTCCAGCCTGATCCAGTGTTATATGGTTGTATTGCATCTGAGCTGTCTTAAAACACAAGCAACTAAATCCCAGGCATGGGTGGGGAATGACAGGTTGCAGGTCCTTTTGGTGCACTTAGGGCTCTAAGGAATGCTGATATAAGGATTTCTCTGACATAAGGAATCCTTATTCAGCAGCACAGGTTTTCAGCAGACATTAACTAGGGAGAGGACAACTCCTGAATGGCTACTGTATTCTGTAACTCGAATTACAGAACATTTTCACTAATACTTTTTACAAAGATAAAACCTGTATTGTGTCATGATTTAGTATTATTTCTAATTCACCTAATTTAGCAGGCTAAGCACTAAATATTGTTAACATTTCAAGTCCCAGAATGACTGCCTAAGGCTGGATTTGGTCTTTGGACCTGGAAAATTTTGGTATATAGATCAGGATTTTAGCAGTAAGATATAAAGCATCGCTCAGGTTCTGTATCAGCTGTATATGTATATGAAGGGTTTTTTTTGTAGTATATGATACTGTTCCCTCTATCTGGCAGAATTTTATTCCACTCAGCAAAGGAAAAGATTTTCCCTGTAACTAAACACTATTTTATATTAATGAGTTTTAATCTTTTTCTGCATTTAACATACAACAGATACATACATATATATGCATTGGGAAGCAACCATAAGAGGCAGTTCACTGCTTTTTTGTGTCTCTTGCCCTAGTTCTTGGCTCATTTGCTCTTGTGCTGCAGGACTTTGATGGGCCAGTCCATTTGCTATGCTCTCTCTCAGCTGAGCATAGAATAAGAATGTGGCTTTGCTTAATAGCTGAATACTTCTTTGCTTCATTACAGCGATATTATTTAACTGACAAAATACAAAACAGAAATAGAACTAAGCAGAAAAGTTTCTAGTTCTCTGTGTTAAAGTGGCCAAGAAGATTGTCAAAGAGAAAAGTTGTTTGTTCTCTCTACCTCTAAGAAAAGTAATCCCTTGAGAAAATGTACATACCTGCAGCCTGATTCTTTCCGTTCCTTATGTGAATCCATATGTAGCTAAAGTTTGCCCTCTCTTGGGGCTTTGTTTTACTAAAAACTCAGATCCATGCCCTCATGCACGTTCTTCCAGTCTGGCTTTCCCAGGCTTTCCACACAGTAGGAACCCCTCTTAGAGTGGAATTAAAAGCTGTCAAATGACTTTGCAATGATTGCCTTTTTTCTCTCAGAGATCAAACACCTTATATCACAGCGAACTGCTAGAAATGTTTTATGAACCAGGGCAAGGCTGCAGAGCCAGATCCCCACAACAGGATTTGTTTTCCTCTCTCTTGCAGAATTGAAAATTTGCTGCAAGGGGCTGGAGATCCGTCTGAATTCTTGGAATGGCAAAAACAGATGCGTGACAAAGATCTGGAAGAACAGCTGGCTGAAATAGAGTATAGGAGGCTTCAAGGAAAACTGAGTTATGAAGAGGCAGTTCTAGCCCATCAGAATGTAATTCAAGAAAATAAGAAGAAAGCTGATCTAATGAGAGAAGAGGTAATAGATGCAGTGGTGCTCAAATTTCCCTTACATTGGATCAGTGCACAATAAACCACAGATGATACCTAATATAAGAAGGTGTAAAAGTTCTATACAGTGTCTTTACTCACTGGAATATACAAACAATGGAAAAATAGTGCTTCCAGATACAGCAGTGCTTATGCATTAAAGTTCTTTTTACAAGTGTTTGATTTGATTGAAAACACTTACAAAGTAAATTGACTAAACCAGAAGGTTAAAGCCTCCTCATGTCATTGTGCATATCATTTTTTAACAGATACTGAGATACTAAGCACCATTTGCAATGAAATTAACAATATATGACTAATTTAATTATCTTGTTAAAATGGGGGCCACAAATCTGAGAGGATTTGTTTTCTTAAACTGATACAATTCTTCATATTATCTGACATGCACAGATCTTTCTTAGGGGAAAGTTCAGGCAGAAAACCCTCTTTGGATCTATATATATGGAAAACTGAATATTTATACCAAGAAGTACTTTCACACAGCTTCCAACCTGGCAAATCACAGTTTCCCAAAACCATTGTTAGATATTTTCGTTATATTCCCAAACTCACATTTTTTTCCAGTTCTTTTCCTATAAACTAACTAACTGAATGCTATAGATTTAAATTTTTTCTTAGTCACTAATACAGGCCATTCTTTTCTATTGCCCCAGTTTGCTGCTATGCACTGTAGGCCACCCACTACATTTCTCTTGGCACCGCTCACAGATGTCTCTGCAGTGTCTGAGCAGCTTAAGATGAGACCACAAATGTACAAGATTTTCAAGAAGCCACACTGCAAAAAGGAAACTTGCTTAATGAGTTAATTTTATACTCTATAAAATCTTTCAATCTTTTTTGGCATTGAATCCTCATGTCTGTTTAGACAGGCTGTAACAAGAACTTAAAATGAACCCTACTATGTACAATTTGGCATAGCATGATTGCTGACGCTCATTCCAAAATTATTGTAATTATTATATTTGCCTCGATTTCAGAAACATAAGTGTTTTATTTGTTAACAGAAATGCCCCATATGTACAGACTTAGGAACTTGCAAATCAGACTTGCTCTAACCTGATCAATTCCAGGCAGTTCCCTTCGCTTGCCAACAGATACCAGCACTTCATCCATGTGAAGATCTCCAGAAGTACTGAGCACCAATTCCCCATTCATTAATAGTTGTCATGCTGACCCTCCTCCTTCTTTTAAAACTCTTGTCTTCCATCTAAAACAGAAAAGACAGTAAGAAATCTAGTTTTCCATTTCCTGTTCATTTCCTGTGACAAAGAAAGGAATATGATAGCCAGAAGTGGACTTCTGTATGTTACAGAGATATGACTTAAGCCCAAGACTATCCTGCAGGCAAACAACCTGCTGTGTATTAGATTAGCACTCTTCCTGTTATGTCACAACCAGATCCAGAGACAGGTTTTTTTGTCTGTTTTTAGAAACGTGGGAGGGAATCCTGGAAAATAGCAGTGCAAATATTATTGGTAAATAAAACATAGGGAGGGAAGCTTAAAGATGGGTCTCTGTGTTGTCCCCAACCAATGTCCTTGCTACTTTTGTGAATGATGTAGTACTTAAAATCTAATTTTCCTTACTCTATTTCAGTGATTTGAGGCAATCAGATCACCAGTTATCACGAGTTTTATTCATCTGTTTGTTTGGGATTTAGAAAGCAGATCTGATGCACCAGTATGAAGAGAAACGTCTGCAGGAACAGCAAGAAGTGAGAGATCTGGTGGAGCAGGTCACAGAAGGACACAAGAATGCAAAGGAGGCGAAAAGGAAGCTGCAGAAGTACAAACAGAAGATAGGTACTTACATATTGCCAGAAAAATGAGAGATGATGACAAATGTCCCCAAATTACTTCATCTTTCTTTTAGTGGACCTTTTCCTTTTGAGTGAAAGACCAGGATATACATTCCCATGAATGTATGATTATGAATTCCAGGAATAAGTTGGTAATGGGTAGATGAGAAATTCTAAGCTACTGGTTGTTTAAAAGAAAGAAATACAGCACTAATGTTCTGCAGTTACTTTTTCTTCCATCTGAAAATAGCATATGTGAATGGCTACTTTTTGTCAAATCAAGTTACAAAGCTCAGATTCTTGTGATTCATATCAGTAAGAGGGGATTTGCCTAGCAAATGTGAAAGAATCGTGGCTCAAAGTTATTGTCGTCACCAGACAATACAGACCAGAGAGGAAGACTGTAGCTAAGGAAAAAAAAAAACATCTCCCAGAAAAATAGTATCACAAGGGAGAATGTAGCACCTCCAAGACAGACCAGTCATTAAGATGAAGGGAAATGTTACTGTTCCTCCATTATTCTTAAAGAAAAGTATTCAGTTAATACATTAGCTCATGAAGTGCAGGGAGAAAGCAGTTCTGGCTGGCATGGCTGTACATATTCCAGTGCAATGCCATGTTAATACATACTGCATGAACAGGCTGCCTCTAGTTGTGCGTATTTTGGTGAGCAGACTTTTCTCTGCTTGTATATACCTATATCAGTAAGGCTTGAGGTGAGGAGAGGGTATTAGCCACTCTGAAATGAGCTAGCAAAGCCTACCAGCCCTTGCAAGTCAGTGAGTTCTAGGGTATATATATAGAGCTTGGGAAAAATATTAGTATTTGCTATGTTTAATATCCTTTTATTAAATAATGAAGCTATGCACAAATTAGAACAGATATTACAAAGCAGTAATTCAAAGTGTCTACTTTATGTATGTATACAGTATGTTTATGTGCGGAATAGACAGTGTAGGTGTGAAGTACTCATTTGTTTCTCTGATCGTTCCACCCACCAATGCCAGACTGTTCCCTCTAGTACGTTTAGATGAGTAGTATTATCGTTATGCACAAATGCATATGAATTTTCCTCCACATGGATTTCTTAACATATGCAACCAGCTAACAGAGATTAGTTCTTATCTTCCAGTTCAGAAAGTTTGTGAAGAAAAGGAAGAACTTCGTCGGCAAGCCTTAGAAGAAGATGAGGAGAAGCTCAGGAAAAGATCTGAACTAATTCAACAAATACGACTTATTGGGTCCTTACCAAGCATTAGACACAAGTTTGTTGATTTAACAGAGGTAAGTTTAAAGCCGATTGGTTTTACATAAATGTATACTTCATGTGTTTCACACAAATGTGTACTTTATGTGTTTCACACATTCAGAGGAATTGTGTATGTGCATGCAGATACATGGCAATCTAGATGCACAGCATTAAGTACAAAGTGACCCCATGAAATAAAAGTTAAATCTGAGCTGGAACTTCAGGGTAGATAAAATGAAAAGTTTACCAGATGGAATATTCTGGTGGTAAGTGAAATCTTGGTCCCCTTGAACTGTCTTTGAATTTCCCCAATAGGCTCTGTGTTTCCTGTTATCTTTCAAAAAGAGACTGGCAAGTTACTACAAAATGTTCTATCCACCTTTACACATTTACAGATTTGTCAGTCCTGAATAGGGACTGAATGAACACAAAGTTTGAACTAAGGTACAGTTGTTCATATTGCAGTGGTGACTGCCATGGTAATTAGCAAAATAAATTTCCTTTGCTTTCAAAATTGTCAACACTCAGATACATGAAAGAGACTATCAAGAGAACCCAAAACCTGCTGAGCTGTTACAAATGTGTTTTGCATTTGATGCGTGTGTGGTTAAGTCTACAGTAAATGTACCCCAGACTTCTTGGACTTACTGACGATGTGCAACAACTGATATGCCTGAGACTGGGCTTTGCAATGCCCACTTTTGCAGAATTTCCAGCATCCAGAAATCTTACTTTACCAGTAAATTGGAAGTAGATTAGCTGAAAATACTCTTCCATTTTTCTTACCCACACTGAAAGAAGAAGAACAGGGAATCACATGAAATGACAGAATAACAATTTTAATAGAATCCTTCTGGTTGGTGTTTTTTTTCTTTCTTTCTCGAGTATTCAAATGTCGATCACAAATTAAAAACTATCCACGGTTTGTCTGTGGAAGCCATACAGAAGGAACAGGTCTTTTCCTCTGTGGGGCTGTTGGAACAGTCAGTACGATGCTTTGGTTTTATTTCCAGTTCCATTGAATAGAACTGAGCCATCCATTGGTTCCAAAGCTACATACTAGCTTTGCAGCCACCAGTTAAATCCCCCATTTCATTTATCAGATTATAGAATACATTTAATGTTAAAGTATGAAGTAATTGAACAAGAATAAATCAGCTCAAGTGAAATAAAGTCCATAAAATTCTCATTCTCATAATTTTAAAGTACCAGTTCTTACCTTGATGGCACTGAAGTTGCTTGAACACCAGTATTATCTATTGCACGACTATAGTACATTTCAGATTTTAGGAACCACTTCAGTGTCTTCACTAAGTATTTCTGAAATGCAAAAAGTCAAAATATTTAGCCTCTTTCTATGCTTCTAGGAAAAACTCTTTCCTAGACCTTTTTGGTGTCTGCTTGCCATGCTCAAACACCACTGTTAGTATATATGCCCCACTGCAAAACATTTTCCTGTCACTTCCTGTGAATATAACTTGACAGCCATTGGCCAGTTTAAATTAGAGGCAAGGTATTACAGCACTTTCTGTTTGCAAATTCAGTCTAAAATGAAATCTGAGGAGATAAATGCTCACTTACTGTTTCAGTAATCTATGGTAGTATGTATTTTTCAAAGACATGCAAAAATAAAGACTGATTAATATTGAACTCTTTTACCAGTCTTCTACTGATGCTCCTGTTTAGGTCATGTACACATGAGGAGCAGGGTAGCAGCCAAAATGGAAGAATCAGATCTTAGGTGAAAAAACAGTGATGATCTGTTCGTACTGACTCAGTTTTGGAGCTTTAGAAAGGGAAGCAATGGGGACCAAAACTTTAGGAGAGACTCTTGCAAATCTTGGAGGAATCTCCAGAGATGGCCACCCAAGACACGTTCCCCTTCACTGACAAGTTTGTATCATTAGATTCCACAGACTAATTCAGTAATAATCCCTCATAAGCACCAGTGCTGTAACAGCTGAGCCTGGTTATTTGTTGTATTCTGTTTTGTGTGTTTATTGCTGCTGTCCCCCTGCATTACTGTGTTCTTCATCTCTCTTGGCTTTGCCTCTGTTTCATGGACCCACTGTTCTGAACAGACAGAGAATGATCATTGGAGGATGAGTACCTGACTACACTGCTTAGATGGCATCCCAGGCCAGAGAAGAGGGACTGGACCAAGGTCAATTCTTGCAGCCAATATGAGCATCTATGACACAGCATCCTTCTCTTTTCCTGGATTTTTATTCGTACCCCTTCATGTTCTTTCTTGTGAAGACCTCAAAAGCAGAAAGGCGACTACTATTCTGTCAACAACCCACTCAGTGTTCAATACAAGGGCTTTTTTTTTTCCCTGTTAAAAAGGGTTTCTTGAAAAAATGAAGGCTCTCTAACTGAATAATTTCTCTCCATTAAAAGGACTGTAATGAGTTTTACATACATATGTTTATCATTAGCACTTAATTTCAGACTGAGAAATACATTTTGGAGGAGTGGTTGTTCTTTTGTGTGTCGTCCCTTCCCCCCCCCCCCTCCCCCCGTTCTCTTTCATCCTTTTTAAACATTGTCATTAATTTTCCGCAAGTAGTTCTATGGGACTAAGTAGACCAAAACCTAACCAGTGTTCCACTCTTAATGTTATACAACTGTATAGCAAGTCATGTTAGCATCTTGACTTCCTGCACCCATATATTCCATTATAACATGACATGGTACAAGAGGTGCACCACAGACGTGTACCAAAACTATGCTAAGATAGAGAAAAAATTATTAGTTGGGGTGAGAAGGATTAAATTTTATAAAGAAAGCTACACAGAATCTCAATGTTTGTGTGGGTTTATGCAAGTTTTCCATCTATGCAGATGTAAATGTGTGTAGACAAGAGAAAGGGAGAGTGTATGTAACAAGGGCCAAAAAATTCAACTGATCACAAATTTGTTTAGAATTTATCTGTCTTCATGTGCAAATGAAGGTGCAGAAGTGTCTCATTACATCTCAGAATCAGGCTTATTATCACTGTAATTGTGAAGGGGATATTAAAAAGCCTTCCTTAAACTTTCAGGTTTGGATATTTTAACTTTGTGCATTAAAATCTGAATTTCTTGGGTACAAAGCATTGGTAGTGCTAGTCTTTTCAGACAAAAAAATAGATGCCATCGTAGATCAGATCCATACTTCTGAAATACATAAATACAAAAATTTCATAGTTTTTAGTGTAAAGTCTGTTCTGGTTTTACTAAGTAAAAAAAACAAACAAACATGGTTTTACACATTTTAAAACTTCAAAGTTCTAATTAAAAGATAAGCCAGCTAGAAGTTTTTTGGATAGCAAATATGTTGCATTTATGATTAACCTACTGTATATTTCAATGCTTTCTCATGAAATGTTTTAGTAACTTTGTGTTTTTACACATACCAAAGAGATGCTCTACAAATTAAAACCAGCTTGTAAGTAACAGATTAGGGCCATTCCTGTATTTCATGAAGTCAAATATATTTAGTATGATTTGGAACACACTCAAAATATTCTGATTTTACATATTTACACTCCCCTTGGTATTTGCAGTGTTATTCAAACCTATATTTCTCATTCTCCAGACTGGTGGCCATGGTTTAACTTGTGAAATGTCAATAGTGGAACTACGTGAACGCCTCGCTCTGCTCAGAGAAGAACAGAAGGCGGCAGAGGAAGAGAAGAGAGACCAGATAATTCATGAAAAACAAGCTAAGGAACAACTTCTTCTAGACAAACTGGATCAGATTTTGGTATTCAGAGCAGAACTCAGCCGAGCAGCTGCTCTAAAGTCAGTATAAAACAGCATGTGACATTTAAGACATTGCACTTTGTTAATATTTTGCTACCCCCTCGAGGAGAAAAACAAGTAGAGAGCAAAATACTGCCCTTCTAGAAATCACTGTGACTTTTGTCAAGGATTACACTGGGGCCAGCGTTCCCTTTTAGTCTGGAAAATAATTTGCATTAGATTTACCAAAGCTTTTTCATTATTTATGGTTGAAGAGGCTCTGTATGTTGGTGTTGACAATATTGCCCCAGGATTCAGAGCCAGTATTACATACTGAGAATTTCTGCCATTCTTCTGTTCCTTTTCAACTAATCAGAACTAATTTGATGTTATTAGAATCGTTCTAGCTTGCCACTTACAGTGCTTTCTCATTCTCATCTAAATCAATACATTAGAACTATAGTTTTCTTCCTTCAATTTCATTTGTTATGTGAAAAGGCAAGCATTATTCTAGACGTTAAAGATATTTTAGGAAGATTTTCTGATTACAATAATAAGTTATAAATTAAATATATCAGTAGATCAAAGAGAAAAATCTTTGCTAACAGGCTCTCTGATAAAATTCTGTATTCATTATTCATATTTATAATTCATTATCATATTTATTATTCATTGTCATAAAGGATCCATAGCCATCGTAGATGCTTCACATATGCAGAAGGTAGGTCCCTTCCACAAGAGTTTTTAATCTAAGTTAAAGCTATTTACAAATAAAGCCGAGCAGGAAGAAAGCCTGTGTAGAAGTATAAAATACAGCACACCTCTTGATTTTCTGCCATTTTTACTGTATCTTGACTATTGTTTTCTTGCACATTGCCTTTCACCTTTTCCCTTTTGTGGGTTTGAGAGATTAGTCCTTGTCTTGCCCTATTTATTTTACAAACAGCTGTTCAAACTCTGAAGACATATTCTATCAGGCTAAAAACACTTGTCTTTAGACATGTCTCAGATTCACATTCATAGCTGAGATACAGAAGGTGGCTTCTCAGAGTTCAGTTCATATTGTTGACATCATCCAGTTCTAAATCTCAGTTACAGAGGGCAGTATTGATGTATTCATTTAACTAGTTTTCACTAGTCCCAGCTCTAATTTGGTTTGTTGCTGATAGTTAATCTCCAAAGACTGGCCTTTACTGTGTTAGTACTTAAGAAGATAGTTTAATTAATTTAATGAATTGATCACTCCCACTGCAGTGGACTGACTGCATAGATCACTGACCCTCTCTTCTATAGCATGTATCAAGAAAAGATTTTAAGACTAAAGAACTTGAAATGAAGTTGGGGCTGGAAATACACTCTCATTACTAAACATTCAGTGTTGTGAAAGCCTGTGGGAGCAACTCAAGCCACCGCTTTCCACAAGAGATGCAAACTAGCCATTAAGAACTTGTATTCTACATAAAACCTGTGCCACTAGTGGCCATTTAAAGAATCATTTGTTATGCCAGATGTGCCGTCTGTGAGTTTTGGATAGTACTGGGTTCCTTTAAAATAGATTCTTTGGCTTAATTCAAATCTAAAACTGTTCAGATCCTGAAATAAGCTATGCTTGAATGAGAAGCTAATTTTGATTCACTTTTTGGTCCTGGCACTTGAAATGTTTATTTAGGCCACACCAGCATGTCAAAGATGGCAGAATCCAAATTCAATTAAACACTTCATTTGCAAACTTCTACTCAGACTCATGATAAGTAATACAGTAATTTTAATGGAGCACTGTTTGCTCTTCAAATAAAGGAAATATAAATTTTCATTATAGATGTAAGACATTTCCTTTCATGGCACCCAGGCAATTTATGTACATAACTCAGAAGCATCTACTACAAAGAGGCATCAGCAAAATATAACTGATACTCTTTGGGAGCGTATTTGATGCATTTTCACCTAGAATCCAAATCTGTGGTGTTATTTCTGGTACTACAGGAATATGGCATGTTTTGGCCTATTAACAAATGCTAGATACTTTGTTGCAGATTTTATTTCTCGCTAAACAAACCATAGGCTTTATGTGTTAAACCTGATTGACAGATCTTGAATACTGAAATAGCTATCAAGCCAGTGTGAGTGATTAATTGCTTGGGTTGTATTATTGACACACTGCACAAGAGATGTAAAAAGCAAATCTTTATGTTTACAGAATCAATTCATAATTATAGGGAAAGCATAGCAAATCTTACCAGTGGTCTTCATGATAACCTTATGCATCAATATAAAATTACATGTTATTTCTTAAGCTGTGTTACGTTGAAGGCTACTACTAATCAGCTAACGTATGGCGGCAAAGCTTTGCTGAACAAATGTGCTTTCACAGTGTCAGCTGGAGTTTAATTGGGTCCCTACCAAGCAGGTTCCTTTCAATATCATTTACGAACTGACATACATCAACACAAAAGCAGCACATTGAGCAAACATATAATGAGCTGTATTAAACAAAATAGGAAATGGAACATGAAAAATGACAGAGACATCAGCCTTTAATAGACTGCAAGCCATGACATCCATCACAGCAGCAGCTTTGTGAGTGCTTGCAGAACACTCAAGAATCAATTTAGTATGTATGCAGGATGTCCCATTAATTGCTAGAATTTCTCAGTTTGAAAATCAGCATTGGCATATGAAGTGGACAAACACTTGAGTTCCCAGCTTTCACACATAAGCACCAAAAGATTTATGTGTTTGAATACATGCTAATGTACTAAAGTTATGTGCCTGTATACTTCAGGTGCGATTCCCTTTCATTCCAGTGAGGCTACAGCTATTACTGCAAGTAATTTAATGCACTAAGAACTGAGCAACAGATCAAACCAATTGGTGCTGAGGCTCCCTCCATCCACATTATCTGTGGTTTGGGGGTTTTACTTTGATTTCTATTTAGTATGGTGTTAGGACTGCATGCTCTCACCATTCATGTGGTTTAAAGATGTGCCAAGAGGAAAGTAATCTCAAAAAACTTCACGTATTTAACTTCGGGTTCCTCTGCAAGCCTGTCTAGTGAACACCACACTATCCTTTTTCTTGTCTCCCATAGATGACAGCAGTACATCCATGCCCCTACCTATGTAAAGCACACAGAAGCCAGCCTTATTTCTGTTCTTGCTCATGTTCCTGCCTTGTTTGTTTTGCTGCTCATTTTCAAGTGACGTGACAGCACCTGCTGCCTGAGCCTGATCCCCTCTCCAAGTCATGCCAACATCCAGATGAAGGTAGCAGCTGCAGTTCTTGACTGCAGGGTGACAGTCTGAACTGACACTAGTACTCCTTGACTTGCTTGTATATGAGGAAGATATACAGACTCCCACCAACACAGATGTTTACCATATTCCCATCTCACGCTGTGGTCTCAGCTGGGATCTCAGCACTGGCTTACAAACGGTGTGTTTGCCAGCGTGGCAAAGCATTAGCTTCTCTCCCTGCCACTGCCAGTGCTCAAAGCCCTCCTGACAAGGGGCACTGACCATACACTTTGAACTTGGCCTGAACTAGGGAGAGGTGAAAATAGTGTAAGGGAAGCCATGGCAGGACAAGGCAGAAGGCTGGCTGTGAAGAGGAGAAAGAGCAGAAGGGAGGGTTATGGATGAATGGTCGTGATGGTGCTTTCCAAGTACAACAAGCTCCCTAAAGCAGATGTTCCCTGGAGTATCCAGGTCTGACTTAGGGGGTCAAGGGCCTTCTGGGTGAAGAAGGGAGTATGGAAGCACAACCTCCAAAACCCATAAGACGCCCTCGCAGCACACCCCTGTGATGCAGCACACAACTGAAGGAGGGGGCAGACAGCACATGGAGGTGGAAAGATATAACAGGGGAACATGTGCCATGCTATCCCTATGTTTGGCTGTTGCTTCAGATATTGGAAAACATAGCCTAGAATAATGAACATCTCTCTGAACATCAGGAAGCACTTCTTTTACTGTGAGGGTAACCAGGCACTGGCACAGGCTGCCCAGAGGGCTCTGTGGAGCCTCCACCCCTGGAGATATTCAAAGGCCACCTGGACATGGTTGTGGGCAACCAGCTCTAGGTGGCCCTGCTTGAGCAGGGGGGCGTGCACAAGATGAGCTCCAGAAGTCTGTTCCAGCCTCAACCATCCTGTAATTCTGTGAATGAATTCTGATTATACAGCTTCATAATCTTTATTTCAAATGAGGCAAACACTATTATGAATAACAATCACTTCCCCACCTAAAATTAAATGCTTAATAACTTAATTGTTTTGGAAGGGAGTCAGATTTTGGGTGCTTAAATCCCTCACATTAGTACAAAATAGTAATCAATCTAATAGTGTAGTGTGTTTAAATGTCAAAATAACGACTCCCTTAATAGTGCACTGTTAACAGATTAATTTTCCTCACTGCAATACCTAAGAATTACACAGTGCAGGGCAGAAAAAAGGCAAAGTACTGTGAAGCACGAACAGCCTCATTCATGGTACTGAGAGTATGAGGAAATTAAAAACCCCAAGGTTTATTGCACTATAAGGCAATCTTACTTCTGCTTTAAAAAATATATTTGTATTTATTGCACAAGAGCCCATTTTGTAAGGTGATCTTATATATACAGTCCTAGCTGCTTAAGTTGATACTGTAGTGCGTAGAATGATGAAATAGCCATTTTTACTCCATCTCCTACGAGTACTGAGTCAGTTAAGAGCTGTCTCCTTACAATTCTGATGTACAGCTGGAGTTTGAAAATATAAATGAAGGGCAAAATGTAGTTTTCAGGAGGAATCCTCTGTGCAAATCTTCATATTCTCCGTTTTGTAAACACAGCTGAGAAGACCTAATCCAAGTGTTCCAAGTGTTTTCACTTGGAAAGGAAAACCTTTCATGATGAATTGCTGCTGTTTCAGTTGTAAGTCAGGTGGCCTACTGGACCTACAGTCCCTTTGGCCTCATCCTAAAACTGCAGGGCAGATAGTTAATTAATTACAAGGGATATGTAGGTAAAAAGATGCTGGACTGCCCCAAACTTATTTATTTTTAAAGCTCATTATATTTACTAAGGAAATTGTTGAGACAACAAATATGGGATGTGAATTGCAGTTTACAATGCCTGGAATATTATTTTAAACAGGAAGGCACTTCCATTTTACCCATCACTGATGGAGTTATTCTGTACTTCATCTCAGTAAGGCCAAATCTTTGTTCTATTGACTGTATGCACAGAAAGTGAATAGAGAACAAAAACAGTGGTAGATAAATTTTCATTGTTTGCTTTCATGTCCATATTCTGTTAAATCTTCCATTAATCCCTTACTTTTCATCCTCTAAGTAGTTTATACATACACCCCACACTCTACAAACTTCCATAAGCACATTCAAGAATCTCATCTAATTCCTTAACACTACAAAGTAGTTTCTGACAAGGGCACTAAGAAAAAACTAGAGTTTGTTAAACTATTTCAAACACATATGGACTTCAAAACTATTAACTGGTTTTTTAGTGTCTTTGGAGGGAAATATTTTTTAATTATAGCAAACTTGCAGAGGGACAGATGACTCTTACCTGAAACTAAACTAAAAGGAAATTAACAAATTCTCTTTTGGACCAAAGATGTGACATTACATCTTAGGAACTAGGAACTAGTATGATTCTTAAAGACTACTGGTTTTCGTTCAAAGTACTCATTCAATACCAGTAGCTGGTAAATGAACTTAAAAGTAAAATTAAAATGGTTTCTGCACATTTTTTTATAAGTTATCACATAATTTTCTGTTGAATCTGGAGAAGATTTTTCTAGCTCCAATCTGACTGGCTGTTACCTGTTACATGATATCGGGTGCTTCTATCTTGAGTCCTTAAAATTCTCAATGACCATCACAGAAAAAAAAAGAATTTTGAAGTTTCTTTTTTCATTCCTTCCCCTCTTTGAGTTTCTGTTATGATGTGGCAGCTGCAAATCTATGGGATTGGCAGCTTTGGGGGATAGTGTAGATGACTGGCACATGACTTCATGTAGAAGAGGGCTGAGGATAAGTGACTATCATGTTAATTCAGAAGCAGCTGTTGCTGCTTTATGATGTTAAACCTCTTGCTCTATTTCCTGTAATTGTATTTACAAGAATCTGGATTTGTATGTAAGGAAAGGTTTTATTGCTTATTCCCACTGAAAATATCTAATCATCATTTATTTACATAAAACCTGACTGTTACATTCTCCTATATCCCTTGGAATACAATGCCTTGTTACAATGCAAACAGAAATAAACCTTGTTCTCAATTAGGTTAAGTGATAGTGCATAATTTTACATTTAGAGAATAGTGTTAAAAATTGAGCTCAGTGTAGCAGAATATATCAGAGTATTAAGGAAGATAAGGAAGTGTTATGCTAACCAGACAGCATGACACAAGCAGCAGAGAGGTTCATAAAATGTCTCACAAAAGCAACTGGAAATGGGAAGCTGAGCTAAACTATGCCCTTACTTAGATTTCACAGTCACATCATATTTCAGAATATAACTAGCATGGAACAAATCTCCTCTTCATCCAACTCCTGAGGATCTCCCAAGATGAAAGAAGTGTTTGGATCCCTGGAATCTAGATACAGTAACTTTTTAAGGCAAATTGGTGGGTTTAGCACCAGAAGGAACTTCCTTCTTCCCCCTCCTCCAGCTCCTTCAGAAAAGTGTGCCTTTTACTGAAAACAGTGTAAGACCCAAGAGATAAGGGAATAGTTCTGTTTCTAACTATTAAGGTGTTACCTACTTTCTTTGGTAGATCTAACACTTCCTTTAGTTCTGAATTTGGCCAAAGAATCACTTCTGCTCATGACGTAATATTAATACTACAGCTTGATCATACTAAGCCAAATTCAAGGGCAGTGTTGAATAAAAGAGGAAGTCGGCTGTTAAGTGAATCACTCTGTAATGTGGTGTAACCTGTATGAAGAAACTGTGAGCAAAATTGTGCCAGTTGAGTGAAAGTAATCAAGAACAGATAAAATGTAAACTCAAGGACAGAAAAATAGCTACAGTAAAAGAAAAAAAAAAAAAGTAAGACTATCCGATATCCTCTCTCTTATGCCTTAATTTTATGCTGCACATGGTGCTGTCAATTTATGATCACCTAGACCAACTAACCTCAATGAATACATCACTATCCCATTGATTCTGAATCTGGGCATTGAGATTACACAGGAAAGAATATCTTTCATTTGCCAAAGAATATAGCAATTGAGATGAATACTAATGATCATATAAGGAAAACTTCATATTTCTCACAAGCAAAAAGCTGAAGTATTATCACAGGTTTTGCACATGTTTTTTGTAAAGAATGTCATGTCAGGCTTGAAATACTTCAGATATTGTCATCATGGCATCCCGTGGGAAGAAATTACTCTATACTGTTTAGTAATGCTGTTCTGTAAACAAGAAGCAAGTTGTGAATACCACGTTCGAGTTACATGATTTAAACCTGTTTTGAGTCCCAGAAGCAAGAGCAAATTCATTATTATCAAGGTATATGCTCAGATGGTTGTATTTTGTAGTTTGATACTACTTTACCTTCTCATTGCTTCTTTTTGTTTTTGCAGGAAAGAAGAAGAGAAAAGAAAGCCCCAGTCTGGTGAAAGGCCTGTGAAAGATGAGCGCATTTTAAACCTGCAGAAGAGGATTGTAGAAAAAAAAATGGAGCGTAAAAAGCAAGAAGAACTCTCAAAGATTACCCCCCAGAAAAGCAGCATCGCATCAAGGAAGGTCTGGAGTTACATAAGGAGAAAAGCTCTGCAATAGACCTGCTGTTCACAGACCTTTGCTCAACTGCCAGCACTGGCAAGGGGGGCAGAGGCAGATGGTGCCATAGATGACTGGCAACAGCAACACCCTGTGTCCTGCATAGGCACTATTTCTCCAAACCATGGCCTTGACCTCACCTTCTTGTCACACAATCTGCTACCACAGAGCAGGGCTCATCTGTGCGATACATAGCTCCCCACTCTTATTTCCATACACTCTCATTCCATCAAAGCAGCATCTTACCTCCTGTTTTAACTCCTGTCTTTCTCAGCTTCCTACCACACACATCCCATTACACCAAACTGGGCTACACTCCCCGTGTCTCGCCCAAGGCATATTAAGAGTTGGTCATTCCCATGCATTTCACCTCAGCCTGGTCCCACGTTGTCATATGGAAGCACCAACAGGCTGTAGGCTTTATGCTGGTTCACAGTGGTTGTGTTTCCTTGGCAAGTGTCTAAAGCGATGAGGAACTAGTGCTTCTGCTGCCACCTCAGCCGCCACCTCAGCCACCACCTCAGGCATGCCTAACATTGAGAAGTGGTTCACATACCAGTAGTGTAACACAGCATATGGAATGCTGCAGGGAACAGTCATCTAGATGATCTTAAGGTCCTTTCCAACCCTTACTATTTTATGATTCTATAATGGGATCACTTTTCAAAAGCTGTACTAGCTCAATCTAAAAATAGAATTAAATCTCCCAATCTGCTAATAATAGATCTCTACCTATTTTGTGAGAAATTTACATGAAGCTGAATTCAATGAAGAGAAAAACTGTATTTTTCAAGTGTATATAGTTTTAAAAACCAAAATAGAGCAATCTTTCAGAGTATTAATGTTTGCTGCCTTTAGAATGCCCATTTCAGGAAACTAAAACATGTAGGTGCTTCCACAGACAACTAGGTCTATTCCTTTTAGCAAAGCAAACAATGACGTACCTGAAGAAAGCATTTCCTAAATTGGGATGGTTTTCTGAACTGAGGTTTTGAACACATGCTTAAACAGTTTGCTGAATGGAGTCCACAGTAAAGTGGAAGCAAAAATGCAGACTTCAAAGGAAAGCAGCCATGTAATTACAATTGAAACATTTTTTTCTTAATAAACAAAGAGAAATCATAAATTCACAACTAGAACTTTTAACGACCCAATGTGGGTCTGTATGTGTGCTGTGATGTCATATGATTGAGCAAAAAAGCCAGGGTTTGAAAGTTGTTTCTTGAGCTAGATTTACACAGTAAGCCTCTTAAGCTGTCACAGTGGTTTTGTTTATGTTCTGCTCAAATGTTAAGACATCTGGAAAAGAAGAGAAGAAAAAAATTCACAGAATTGCAGAATCCCAAGGGTTGGAAGGGACCCCAAAAGATCTAGTCCAACCCCCCTGCAAGAGCAGGGTAACCTAGAGTACATCACACAGGAACTTGTCCAGGCGGGCCTTGAATATCTCCAATGTAGGAGACTCCACAACCTCCCTGAGCAACCTGTAATTCAGGGTTATTATGAATTATTTAACTGTATTGGTGTATCTTAGATCACTGCTGTTCCACTCTACATGACCCTATCCAAATGTTACTACAGGAAAGTAGCTCAATTCTGGTCAGGTATGTTACTACATAAAACTAGTATCAAATATTACTACAGGAAAATAGCTCAGTTCTTGTCAGATATGTTACTACGTAAAAGTAGTATCCAAATGTTACTATAGGAAAGTAGCTCAATTCTGATCAGATATGTCCAGCAGCATCTTTATTGTGCTTGAACTGCATTTTGCTGAAAAAGGTGTTAGTGTGACTATAGGAAAAAAATCCTCCCTTAGTTATAATGCAGTAGTTATCTGGCATTCAGTTTGTACTGCTACTCTGTAGGTTCCTCAGTTAGTTGAGAAAAAAGAAGTTACACTAACCCCTTGTAATAAAGTTCCAGATTGTGGCTTTCGTAACACTTGTGCGGGCCCTTTGCGTCCAATTAGTTTGTGCTGATATAAGTCAAGGCAAAGTTTATTTGATTATATTTACAAATCACTATTATATTCTTAATAAAACAGACTTTCTATTGCAATTTGGAAAACTAAACATACGAAAAACTACCATTAATGAAAAAAAAAATTTTCTACCATTTTAAGCAGAGAATCAGATGAAAAAAGTAGCAGTTTTCTGTTTGCTCTGAGCTTTTGGCTGAATGCTCCCTTGTGAACCCAGATTTTGGATCAGCAAACCACTAGAGTTTGGTAGGATTTGTGCAACTCTTCATTTATGGCTTCAAGAATAAACTGCTGGCAAAGAAAGAACATAAGGTAGCAGCACTGAAGCAAACCATCCAGATGTAGTTTTATCTTGGCTTAATATTTTGTGGGGAGTTGCAGCTGTGTTTAATTCAGCTTGATCTGGGCAACCCACCCGAGTTACCTTTGTGTTCATCACACACAGTTTGATGTTGACAAGTCTCCCAATCATGTCAGCAAATAAACTCTGAAGAGTTTATTTAGTCTAATACGGTATTCTCTAAAAAGAATTACTGTATTATCTGCAGTCTGATCATCTGTGTCTCTTTTCTGCAGGATACTTCCCAATGGAACCATTGGAATGAACTGGAAGACAGTCGGGAAAGACAGTTCAAGATCTTTCAGCATGGCTTCATGGCCAGAGAAACAGCTCAGAAAACGTCTGCCTATGAGGAAGCAAGAAGTGGAGCCAAAGTCTGTATATTGCACTCTGAAGTAAAATAAACTACAAATTCAGGCCGCCTGGAAATCTACCAGTGTGCCTGCTTACTACAAGGTTGACACCTTTTTAGTGTGATGAGAAAAATTTGGGTCATACAGGCACAACAGAATAAAAATGCATTCATTTATTTGCAATAGAATTTTATTTTTATGCTATAATGATACTTTTTTTTTTTGTTAGAATCAAAATCTTTAAGAAACCAAAACCTCACCATTACAGCTTGTACAGTAGAATGGCAAATACATGGCTAAGAATGCTGAGATCTGTATTTCTGTTAGCATTGTATTCTGTGCCATGGAGTTTGCTATGCTCATTTTTCGAAAGAATAAAAATGAGGGCAAAACCCAAGCAACATTTGCTTATATATGCTTCTTTCAGAAGGTATCAACAAGGTGCTTAGTGACAGCCAGCATGGCTTCACTAAGGGGAAATCCTGCCTGACCAATTTGGTGGCCTTCTATGATGGGGCTACGGAACTGATGGACAGGGGTAGAGCAGCTGATGTCATCTACCTGGACTTGTGTAAAGCGTTCGACACTGTCCCACACGACATCCTTGTCTCTAAACTGGAGAGACATCAATTTGATGGGTGGACCACTCGATGGATAAAGAACTGGCTGGATGGCCACACACAAAGAGTTGTGGTCAATGGCTCAGTGTCCAGCTGGAGACCAGTAACGAGTGGTGTCCCTCAGGGATCGGTGTTGGGACCGGTCTTGTTCAGCATCTTCGTTGCTGACATGGACAGTGGGATTGAGTGCGCCCTCAGCAAGTTTGCCAATGACACCAAGCTGTGTGGTTCAGTTGATATGCTGGAGGGAAGGAATACCATCCAGAGGGACCTTGACACGCTTGTGAGGTGGGCTGATGCCAACCTCATGAAGTTTAACCACAACAAGTGCAAGGCCCTACACTGGGTCGGAGCAATCCCAGGCATAGCTACAGGCTGGGCAGAGAAGAGATTCAGAGCAGCCCTGAGGAGAAGGACTTGGGGGTGCTGGTCGATGAGAACATGAACATGATCCGGCTTCAGTGTGCACTTGCAGCCCAGAAAGCCAACCGTATCCTGGGCTGCATCAAAAGGAGTGTGACCAGCAGGTTAAAGGAGGTGATCCTGCCCCTTTACTCTGCTCTCGTGAGACCTCACCTGGAGTATTGTGTGCAGTTCTGGTGTCCTCAACATAAAAAGGACATGGAACTGTTGGAACAAGTCCAGAGAAAGGCAATAAGGATGATTAGAGGACTGGAGGACCTCCTGTATGAAGACAGGCTGACAAAGTTGGGGATGTTCAGCCTGGAGAAGAGACGGCTGCGTGGAGACCTCAGAGCAGCCTTCCAGTATCTGAAGGGGGCCTATAGGGATGCTGGGGAGGGACTCTTCATTAGGGACTGTAGTGACAGGACAAGGGGTAACAGGTTAAAACTTAAACAGGGGAAGTTTAGATTGGATATAAGGAGGAAATTCTTTCCTGTTAGGGTGGTGAGACACTGGAATGGGTTGCCCAGGGAGGTTGTGAATGCTCCATCCCTGGCAGTGTTCCAGACCAGGTTGGATGAGGCCTTGGGTGACATGATTTAGGGTGAGGTGTCCCTGCCCATGGCGGGGGGGTTGGAACTTTATGATCTTAAGGTCCTTTCCAACCCTAACTATTCTATGATTCTATGATTCTAAGGTACGGTCAGCTGAAGCTCCTCACAAGTCTTCTAACAGGACAGTAACTGTGTAAGAGGATAATCAGTTTCAACACTGATTTTAGAGGATGAGGAAAGAACTGTTTAGAAGTTTAGATGATGTAACAGCCTCCAGGAGCCAGAGTCTAGATTCAGTCACCCAGAAAGAACACTATCATGGATGTGAATCTCTGCAGACTTTAAAAGCGGAAAGAGGACATAACGTTTTTTGATCTCTTTAGGGAGCTTCTTCCAGAAAAAGTCAAAATTCTGTTACTCACCTAAAAGATAATTTGTCCTCTACACAATTTCTAAATTGTGTAAAAGAGCCTTTAAATCACAAGACTTACTCTTGGCACCAAGGCAAGAAGGATATAAATCCAAATGAATATCTGCACAGCAGTATAACTATATGATATATTTCTGGTTTATCTCAATGCCAGTTACTATGTGTTTAACTATGGCTATTGCGAATATTTAAATTGAAGGAAAGTCTCGCTGACATTAGTTGGGCAGCTGATTTTAATGCTCTCACAATAGTGAGAAATGTAATTCTCACTTTTTACTAAAGGAAGTCTAATGGAATTCTTTTGTTGCCATCTAGCTGTGAAGATCACTTCCACAATCTGCAAGCTGATAACGTGCTGTATGTTTTAATCAAAGTAAATGCGATGTAGGGTTCATATTCCATAGGGAGAATTAAACACAGGAGAGAGAAAAGAAAGAAGCACAGCAAGAGACCTACAGAGAAGAGGGAACTACAACCCAGTGTCTAGTAGGGGACTGTAATAGCTTAAATCAATAGACTCTTGGTGGCAGGGAGTTTATCTTCCTTTGTGGTTGTTCAGCATTGTATTCCAGAACAACAAAGCCAAGTGGTGGTTGTAACACTTGTTTTGTAGAAGCTGGCAATTAACAGGGATGACAGTCATGACCTGAGACGCTGCATCGCCAAATAGTTCCTCCTAAACTTTATTGTGTGCCTGGCATTTAGAGATTTTAGAAAAACCTCAATCATTAAGAAAATAGATAGGCAGGTGTATTTAGGTAAGTAACATGGAAATGTCACAACACCATCATACTGCATGCCTCTTCCCCTCTGATGATGTAACCAGTTTTCAAAACTCTTACTGAATTGCAATAAAGCTGATTCATAACGATTTCCTTCTCCGTATTTTCCCTGCTCTCAAAAGAAAGGACTGAGGAATAAAGGAATCTCGATAATCCAGCTGTAGCCTATTGCTACTTTAGGATCTAATGCATAAAGTCATCTTCAGAATCAGTGTTCTGAGTAATGTAAAAGAATGTGAGTCTTTTAGGAAAAAAACAATATATCCCTATATTGAGATTTCTATGTCAATACAGCCTATTGATTTTTCAGGGATGGCAGGTCTTGCAACAGAATACACACAATAACATTAAAAAGACCACATTCCTCCTGACAAATGTGGATAACACGATGTTGGAGGCAGCAGATCCTACCCACAACCTGTGGAGTCAGTGTTCTCACGGGAGAATGGACAATTGGTACATAAATTCTGAATAATCCTGAAAGATACAGCAAGGCTGTGAGAGGCCCGAGGAAGCTTAAGCAAGCAAGATAAGAAGAAGCTGTAATTCACCGAGTTATGAGAACTGTGGGCTGTTGGCAAGCTTTTGAGGTCAAGTTCTCACACCTGTGCTTAACCAATTATGTGTTATTCGCTAAGGGTCTTCAAGACATGTATCCAATCATAATATGCCAAATCACTGTAAGTGCCTGTAAGAAATGGTATATAAGGAGTTAAAAGCTTTGTAATAAATTGGCAATCGCTGATCACATTGATTGTCTCTGCATTGTTCGTGACTCCTGCGTCAACAACAACCACTCCACCCCTGGCCACTAGAGCATCTTTAGTATTTCTGTTCCAGCAACGTGTTATACACAAACCTGAGGTGATACAATGCAGAGGTGGCAAAGGTCTGATAGGACATGTTAGTGTAATATTACAAAAGCAGCTGTAATGCCATTGGAACCAAGAGAACTGCATTCACGCTGCTGCCTCAGCTGGTGTCTGTGACACAGACCATCCACAGCCTGGTTATTGCATGATAATTGAGGCAGCAATGCCTCTACACTCGTCACACTTTTGCAGAAGCACAGGTAAATAATACATGATTCATTCATTTACACATTTGTCACACTATTCACAGCCAAGAAGACGAGCAGAAGTGAACAAGGCTGACTCTTTAAATCACCTAACAAAACAGACTTACAAAATCAAAGGGTTTAACCTGTCTGATCTTAGTGACTCATTAGAAAACCCTTCTAATGCAAAAACCTGCACATTCCAGAGGTCTCCTATTTCAGTGTGAATGTCCAAACCAGAAAAGCAACTACGATGTAAGGAGATGTAAGGAGGTGCAAGGAGGCCCACATTACCTGAGGAAGATGGGGGGTTTCAGCCCTGTGATGAGCATCAGACACAGGGTGCTCACACCTTGTGTAACACAGTCACTGCTGGGTAGCACTTGGCTCCTTCTTCCAAATCAGCCCTTGTTCTGGGGCAAAGCCCATATTCAGTGACTTCCTGATGATCCGATCTACCCTAGAGAGCACAGGTATTTTGTTATGTACATGAAAACAAAGACACAGAGATAAGTTATGTTGGAATGGTGAGCAAAAAACCCCAACAAACCTAGCACAAATCTTGAGTGCTGTTCACCCATAAGAGAAGGCAAGAAAAATCCCCATGAAAAGCTACGAGTTTATCTACAGTCAAGCAGCCGGGCACAGTGCAGGAACATCCACAAAGGCCAAGATGATCCTTGCCCTAAGGCAGCTGGGGAAAAAGCCCTTCTCGATGGTGAGGTGAGGGTGTCAAAACACCTCTTAAATGTTTATAATGAGTTACATGGAGGAGCTGGACTAATTATAACACAGGCAACAGGTCACAATCTTCCAAGCTGATGACTGATGAATTTTGCTCAGTGCTTTGGAAACACTTCCAAAAGGTGGAGTGTGTGAGAGATAGAAGAGAACGGACCTAAAAGCTTGCTCACTCACACCCCATGCCCCGGGACATCAGCACTGTAGAACACTGCGAAAGCCCCATCCTGCCTCGGCCGCCCCTTTCAGGGTCCGTCAGGGACGAACTAACCCCTGGGCCGTCGCGGTCCTCCCAATGGCGGCCAGCCCGCCTCAGGCCAGGCGCCCCTCCCTGAGAAGATTGCCACCCGCCACACAGGCCGCGCTCCCGCCCCGCCCCGCCCCCACCCACCCAGAAACTACAACTCCCAGCAAGCTCCGGGGCCGGATAAAAGGCAGAGCCGCGCTCCCTCCCCTTCCTGATTGACGTGCGTGGCAACCACTCAGC